GGGCCCACCCAGCTGCCCCAGGACCAGCCGTGTCCCCTTCTCAAGATCCTTCACTTGATCACACCTGCAGAGTTCCTTTTGCCATGGACAGTCGTGTGCCTAGGTTCTGAGGGTTAGCGTGAGCATGTCCTTGCTAGGGGCATTATTCAGCCTGTGGCACAGGACCTTTCACAAGGGCATGGGTAGGGTGAGGGTTGGACACCTGCATCCCATATCAGAGACCTGCCTGCTTTGTGCTTCTGACCCAGGTCCCTGCTGATGTGCCTGGGAAGCAGCAGATGATGGCCCAAGTTCTTGGGTTCTTGCCACCCACCAAAGAGACCCAGATGGAGTTTTTGGCTCCTGGAATCAGCCTAGCTGCAGCCATTTAGGGAATGAACCATTGGATGGAAAATCTCTCTATCTCTGTTTCTGCCTCTTTGTCACTCTGCCTTTCAAATAAGTAAAAAAAAATTTTTAAGATATTAATGTTTTCTTTATTTGAAAGACAGGGTTACAGAGAGGTAGAGCCAGAGAAAGAGAGAGGTCTTCCATCTACTGGTTTACTCCTAAATGACCGCAACGGCTGGAGCTGAGCCGATCCGAAGCCAGGAGCCAGAAGCTTCTTCCAGGTCTCCCACATGGGTGCAGGGGTCCAAGCACTTGGGCCATCTTCCACTGCTTTCCTAGGCACATTAGCAGGAAGCTGGATGGGAAGTGGCGCAGCCAGGACCCGAACCAGTGCCTGTATGGGATGCAAGCATTGCAGGTGGCTGCTTTACCCGCTACACCATAACACTAGCCCCCCAAATTTTTGAAATTCCCTTCTCCATGAATGGAGAGCTCCCTCATATGTGTTGGGAGGGATGGGAAGTGGTTGAGGCGGCCTTTCTGGTGAGGTGACTTGGCTCAGTGAGTAGAGGGAGAGGTCGGGGGGCATGTTGCAGACACAGGAGAAATGCAGGGGTTCTGGGGAGTGGGAGCCGAGGGGCGTGGACATACTCCCTGTAGCAAGGTGCGGGCCACGTCTCTTCCCTTCCTAGGCTGGGTGGAATTTTCCAGGCTTCAATCTCTAGGCCCAGGCCTCGTCCCCTGATTCGGGATGGGGGGGCCCTCTGCCTTCCTGGCGGCTGCAGCTGCTGTGGGGACCCAGCCAAAAGCCGTGGGCCCCAGCCACTCTTTGGTGGTGGGAAACAAATTCTCCAGGGAAAACGAATTTGAGCTGGCTGGGCTGGGTTCATATGGCCTAGAAACCCTGGTGGCAGTCTGGGGACAGTCACGTTGCTCACCTGGGACAAAGGGCCCCTCCCCGGGGCACCTCCTGTGTCCTTAGGGTGCTCAGGGCCCCAAGTCCCCAGGGACACTGAGAAGGGTGAGCGGGAGGAGGCTGCTGAGGAAGGGGGCGGGGTCCCAGACAGCAGGTGCAGACTAGGGAGCAGTGTGGCAGGGAGGGGAGCCGAGCCACAGGTGCGAGCATAGCTTAGACTCCAGGGTCTCGGCTGAGAGCTCTGGAAGTTCACGTTGCTTCCACCCTATTAGTCTGGCGAAGGTGTGGGTTTTCTCTATTGCTCTCTCTGGCATCCTCGGGGGTGGAGTCAGGGGGCCTTGGGCCATGTAGGCTTTGAGAATGCCAGGGCGTGCAGGTGGCACTTACGGCAGGTGCCTGTGGAGTTCTTCCCCTACTGAGCTCATGGACTAGGGAGCAGTGGCTTTGGGGGAGCTTCCGGGCCCACTGGAAAGAAAGGTCTCTGGGGACCTTGTCAAAGAGGGCTTTGCAGGTGCAGGGCCTGAGACACAGGGTTTCTGGAATACTGAGTCATTGATTGGTGACTGGCTGCATTGAGTCACCTGGAAAGAGGTCATGGTGGGCTGGGGGGAGTGTTGGGAACCTGGAGACTGGGGCATGGCGGGTGGAGTGGGCGTGGGCACCTGGCTGGAGGGCTTGGCTGCTGTCCACTGCGTCACCTCCTTCTCTGGGCCCCTCTTTCCCCAACACATGGTATCTCCCAGGATGCACTGGGAAGGCCTGGGTGCTCGTTCTGGCTCGAGGGTGAATCTTTCAGGATGGGCTGGTGCTCACTGGACTGCCCTGGGCGCTGGGGCATTCTGGGCTCGGCACTAGCACTGGTTCCATCATCTCTTAGGGCAGGTGCACTCACGGTGAGTGTCACCATCACACGGGTCCTCTCGCGTGCCCTGCCTCCTTGTCCCTCAGCCCTCCCTTTCCTGGGCGCTGGGCTCTGTTCTAGCGAGGCCTCCTGTCCGGGGGAGAGAGAACGAGAGCACGAGAGAGAGAGAGAGAGAGAGAGAGCGGGCTTGTTAATGTGGCCTGCTGGGCCCTTCCTGAGAAAGTTACAGTTCAATCCTGGTGACCCGTGCTTTCCCCCTGCTTCTCTCTGCTTCCCATGGCCTTCGACCCTTCGACCTGGAATCTGGATTTATCATTTTGTTCCAAGGGGAGAGTGAATGGCCAGGGGTCACATCGGAGCAGGTCCACAAATAGCCCCAAAGCCTCCCAGCTCTCAGCTCTCTGGAGCATCTCCGGGTAAGCTCCAGCAGAGTCTCCCTGTGCCCCCTACAGCTTATACAAAAGCAAAGCCCACAGCCGGGGCATCTGGGGGCTGTGACTAATCCTTTGCCTGTGGCCCTGGCTGGAGTGAAATCCGCTAGAGACACAGTGGCAGGAGAGTGTGCACTGTGGAGCCCAAGTTCAAATCCAGGCTCTGGTTTCTGCTTCGTGGCCTCAGCGTGGCCAACCCTGGCCCTCATGGTGTAGAGCTGTTCTAGGGGATAAGTGGCCCAGCAGGTGCACAGCGCTTAGAATGTCTTAGCAGTCGGCTGTTAGGCTTTGTTTTAGCTCCAGGAGAACTTGAGCTTGGGTACTGCTTTCAAAACATGAGCTTGGTTTGCAGGCTGGCTGCTGTGTTCAACTGAGGAAGACTGTGCCGAGTGGAACAGGTGCATTGTTTTCTGGGCTCCAAGTGGGCTTGCCTTGTGTGGCTGTTTGCCGTGGGATCCCCCTTTGGTGACAAGGCGTCCGCTGATCAGGATCCCCTGATCCTGTGTGCATGTTTGTGTGTTTGTGTGTGTGTGTGTGTCTTGGGGCAGGGCTGTGGTTAATCCTTGGCCTTGAGGCTGTGACCTGCCTGCCTGTGAGCTCCATCTGGGACTTGGGCCTTTTCCGCTCAGCCTCCCCACAGGAGCTGGGTGAATCTGGGAAAGATCCTGTTGTTCCAGCTGGGACGGATGGGTGGATGGGTGGATGGGGCTGGGGGCGGTGCCTGGCCACGCAACGCGCTGTGAAGATCGGGAGGGCCTTGGGGCTGGGCAGGAGCTTGGGTCTTTCTCCTTCTTAGGGCTGGAGTGACGGGCGGGGGGGTGCTTCTGTGTGAGGGGAGGGTCTCGTGGATTTAACTCTCAGGGTTCTGAGCAGGAGGGGGCAGAATGTAGCAGCTTCCTCCCTCGTGTCGCGTGTGGAAGGGGACACCAGAGAAGGGGACAGCTCTGGTGCTGTCGCGTGTGCCCCTTTGACAAGTGGGGGCTACAGAGCACCTCGGAGGTGACCCCTCTGGCTGGGACACTGGGGGGGCCGGCCTTGCAACCCTGGGAACTTCTGAGAGTGTGTGGAAGGAGACTGCAGGCCTGGGAAGCTGGGGAGGCTCCCAGAAGGCGTAGAGGTTGGCGTGCGTCACAGAGGCTGGAGGTGGGGTGGGGGAGGGAACAAACACCCTTTGCAACACTGGAGCTCACGGCCGCTGACTTTCAGGTTGGGCAGAGGCACCAAAACCAGGGGCTGCCTGTCAAGGGTGCCAGAGGGATGCCACCTTCCAGAAGGTTCTCCTCGGAGCACGAGCACTCTCCCTTGGGCTGTCTCTGTGGTCTAGTAGTTTCTGAGCTAGGGGTGGAAGGCGTGGGCCATTCGTGGTGAGAGGGATGCCCCAGAATCGCCTTAGTGCCCTGTGGAAGTGGCGACAGATGTGTGTTCCTGATGTCTGTGAGCTCTGGTCCTGTGGGGTGGCACGGGGTGGCCCATTTCTCCCCAGAGGCCACTGCCTGATGCAGGCCCTGCCCCACCTGCTCTGGGTGGGCCTGCCTGTGAGCTGCATCAGCTGTTCAGGGAGTAAAGTCCTCCCGCGGCGGAGGTGGCCGTGTTTGCCTTACCTGGGCGTAGCTTCCGGTTTTCCATGCGGCTCTGCCAGAGAGCTGGGAGCTAGCGGAGCCTCAGCAGTGCCTCGGGCCCGGGGAGTTTCCTGGGCCCTGTGTGAGTCAGGGACCTGCCCGTGCCAGGTGGCAGGTGTGGGCCAGGAGGTAATGCTCCTTTCCCGGTCAGCATCCACAGCCTTCAAGTTCACGGTGAAGTCGCTAGGGCCCCTGGGGTTTTGCAGTCTTGGGGAGACTGGTACATGTGTTGTCTCATTGCTGGAAGGGCCAGGTCTCTGCCTGTCCCTGTAGGTATCCCCAGCAAGGCCCCGACAGCTGGGCCCCTGCACAGGACTTTTTCTTCCCAGCTTCCATTGTGGGCGTTTGCCCTGTGCCAGACACTGTGCACAGAGCCATGTGGGCAGCAGGGTGCTTCCTCTTTGGAGCCCCAGTGCTGGGCAGGCCGGATCCATCTCCTGAGAACCCAGACGGCAGGGCTGAGCCGTGAGTTCTCTGGAGGCGTCCTGCGCCACTGCCTGCACTGTGGAGGGCGGGGGCGGCCGTGTCCTGGGACCCTGAGTTTCCAAGTCCTTTACTGTCCCTGCTGTGGGCGACCTCTCCTCCAGCCCAACAGGGGTGCAAGGCTGTTGCAGGCAGTTACTGGGGCATCCCTGGCATTCGGTTTTGTGCTTGGTTTTAAACCATAGCGAAATTCGGAGCCTCGCCTCACTTTTAGGTGCAGGGTGCGGTGACATAATTTAGCGCATTCAGTGTTGTGCAGCTTGTAAAGCTGAACTCGGAACCCATTACCTAATCGCTTCCCCGTCTCCGGGCAGCCACTTTGCTGTTTCTATGGGGATCCTCTGTCTGTTTTGCTCCAGAACCTCCCCGGGGCGCCCCCGCCAGGCAGCGATGCCAGGATGCCCGTCTCTGCCTCTCTCCGCCACCACGGCAGCCAGGAGCGGCCGGTGAGCCTGACCTCCACCACCTCCTCGTCGGGCTCGTCCCGTGACAGCCACGGTGCCATGGAGGAGCCCAGCGCCCCCGAAACCCCCGCTGAGAACGGGGCGGGCTCCCCGCGCGGCCGGCACGTCCCCAACAGCAACAACTCCAACAGCTGGCTGGGCGTGAAGGGGCCCCTCTCCCCGTTCAGCGGCCGCGCCGCAACAGGGCCTGCCCACCACAAGCTCAGCTACCTGGGCCGCGTGGTGCGGGAGATTGTGGAAACCGAGCGCATGTATGTGCAGGACCTGCGCAGCATCGTGGAGGTGAGTGTGGGCTGGGGGCGTGGCCTGTGGTGGCCCCGCCTTCTGTGTTTCGGGGAGGGAGGGAAAGTTCTCCCTGCCTCCAGTGGAGTGGTTCCCAGGCTTTGCTGGACCAGCTTGGGCTGGGATGAGACCCTTCGAAAAGTACATGGAAAATGAACTTAAAGCATAAGTTGATTTTGGGGGCAAAACCTTTTGGAATTCGTGCATGCCAGGGCCTCTTCTTAACGTGCATGGAAGATGCCTGCTAGGAAAACACTGCACAGGCCGGCGCCGCGGCTCGCTAGGCTAATCCTCTGCCTTGCGGTGCTGGCACACGGGGTTCTAATCCCAGTCGGGGCGCCGGATTCTGTCCCGGTTGCCCCTCTTCCAGGCCAGCTCTCTGCTGTGGCCTGGGAGTGCAGTGGAGGATGGCCCAAGTGCTTGGACCCTGCACCCCATGGGAGACCAGGAGAATCACCTGGCTCCTGCCATCGGATCAGTGCGGTGTGCCGGCCGCAGTGCGCCGGCCGTGGCGGCCATTGGAGGGTGAACCAACGGCAAAGGAAGACCTTTCTCTCTGTCTCTCTCTCTCGCTATCTACTCTGCCTGTCAAAAAAAAAAAAAAAAAAAAAAAAAAAAAAAAAAAAAAAGAAAGAAAGAAAACAGTGCACAGATTTCAGGATTTTTTGGCACCATCTCTTTTAATTCCATTTTCCATGTACTTTTTTTTTTTTTTTTTTAAGGGTCCTTGTAGAACTTCTTGCAGATGTTCAGGGCAAAAGCACTGATGACAGGGGACCCCAGCCGGGCTGGGAAGACAACACCGGACCCTGCTCCGCGGGGATGAAATCAGTGTCCCATTGCTGCAGCATGGTGCCTGAGGCTGGGTGCTTTGCAAAGCAAAGGGGTTGGTTTAGCTCATAGGTTGGGAGGCTGACAGTGCAACCTCTGATGAGGGACTCTGGGCCTATGGCCTTGTGGTCAGAGAGGGTGCAGGAGGGATCCCCTGGGAGAGATTCTGGGGGTCAGGCTTGCTGTTTTATCTCCCCACTTGGCCACACCGAGGACCGACCTCCCAGCACAGGTACAAGCCGAACCCTGGCAGGGAGGTGACGGAACCCAGCCACCTGCATGCAGGTGCCCGCCTGCTCTGCTGTTTCCTTTCTGTAGCTTGTCTCAGGTACAAGCTTGCCTCTCTGAGTCTCAGTGTCCCCTCTTCAAGATGAAGACGCCCTGCCTAACGCTCACCCGTGCAGGGCCCACAGCGGGTCCCTGCTGGGGAGGGAGGGGAATTAGCTTGCTAGAGCTGCCCCACAACAAATTTCCACAAGGCTGGCCAGCTTAGACCAGCAGAAACGTCTTCTTACGTCAGGAGGCCGGAAGCCCCAAATCACAGTGCTAGCCCTGCTGGTTTGTCCTGGAACCTCCTCCTCTCCCTGCCCTGGGGAGGGTGTTTCCTGCAGTTGCTCTCAGCCTTGTTGGCTTGTAGAGGCATCCTTGCAACCTCTTCCCTAGCCCTGTTTCTCAGTGAGGGCGGCCCTCATTAGATTTAGGACCCACTCTTTTTTTTTTTTTTAATATTTATTTTATTTATTTGAAAGAGTTACAGAGAGAGGTAGAGACAGAGGGAGAGGCCTTCCATCCACTGGTTCACTCCCCAGACGGCTGCAACAGCCAGAGCTGTGCTGATCCAAAGCCAGGAGCCAGGAGCCTCCTCCGGGTTTCCCATGTGGGTGCAGGGGCCCAAGGACTTGGGCCATCCTTCACTGCTTTCTCAGGCCACAGCAGAGAGCTGGATCGGAAGTGGAGCAGCTGGGACTAGAACTGGCGCCCATATGGGATACCAACTCTTCAGGCCAGGGCTTTAACCCGCTGCGCCACAGCGCCAGCCCCAGGGCCCACTCTTTACCCTAAATGATGTCATCCTGAGATCTGTAACTAATGACATCAGCAAAGGTGCAATTTCCAAGTAAATTCCCCTTCTGTGGTTTTAAGTGGACACACATTTTTCGGGTGGACACCGCCCAGCCCAGCACAGCGGGCGCTGTCAGTGGAGACCGCTGTAAAGTGCAGTAGAGACAGGAGCTGTGCCTGGGGGTGTGGGGGGCCAGGACACAACCAGCCAGGCGAGCCGCACTCTGACTGCCTGGCTGCACACAGGACTACCTCTTGGAGATCATCGACACACCCGGGCTGCTGAAGCCAGAGCAAGTCAGCGCTCTCTTTGGGAACATAGAAAGCATCTATGCACTGAACAGGTATGTCCTGCTGGGGAGGCCTGCCCCCAGGCAGCCCTGGACGTGGGGTCTAGGATTGGCAGGGGTGGGAGGCAGTGGGGAGGGTGTGTGTTTGCTGGGGCCAGCCGCCTGGGGGCACAATGCTCTCTCCCTTCTCCTCGTCATCCCCACTGTTCACCTCATGTTTTCTTCTCCTTCCTACTGACCCCCCGAGAGGTCGGGGCTCCTTGGAACTGTTCTGAACTATGTGTGGGATGCATAAGCCAGGCAAGACCAATGGGGGAGGCTGTTCCAGGCCCACTGAGGGGCTACTTCACAGCAGAGGGGGGCTCCTTGAGGGCCAGAGTCTGCCCCTGGGGAACCAGAGCCTCTCCAGGGAAAAAGCACTGGTTAGGAGAGCAGAGATGGAGGGGGACAGTGATGGGTGGAAGGGACCATCCACCACCCCCTAGGATGAGCAGAGAGACCTCTGCAGCTGGACAAGTGTGGGAGGACAGGGTGCCGGCGAGCCTCGGGCCGATGGCTGGGTTGGGAAGAGAGGAGGTATACTGATGGAGGAGGCAGGGAAGACACAGATGGAGGAGGCAGAGGGACGCTGATGGAGGAGGTGGGGTTTGCTGTTTCCAGGGTTTCCTGCAGTGCACCCGTCTGAGGACAAGGGGTGCCAGGACCCACCCTGTCTCTTCCTGTGCCCCTCGCCCTTTCCTCCTGGAGGCCTTGCTCCTTTGCAAGTCCCCCTTCTCTTCCCCCTTTAACCTTGGCTTTTGTGTGTTTGACTCCTGCCCGCAGAGGAGCTGTGACCCCTCCCGAGGTGGGTACTGGGGTCCCCTCTCCCTCTCCCGCTTGCCAAGCACGCGTCCCCCTCGCCCGCGTCTGTGTGCTGTGCCTGGAACTCTCTGTGGCTGCCGCTGCAGGCAGAGCCCCTTCAGAGGGTGCAAAGTCCCGCCGTTGGCATGACAGCAGCTGGGGTGGGGGTGTCCATGTGTGGAGGTGGGGTAGGGACTTGTGGCTGCGCCTGGAGGCTGCCGAGGCGTGAGGTCTGATGGCCACCCTCCCCCCTCCCCCCAGCCAGCTCCTCAGAGACCTGGACAGCTGCAATAGTGACCCCGTGGCCGTGGCCAGCTGCTTTGTGGAGAGGGTAAGGCGGGCTGGGTCCCTGTCCCTTGTCCTGCATCATTGGGAGTTCAGAGAGACAGGAGCACCCTGTGTAAGAGGACTTGGTCCTGGAGACCCCTCTCTCGGTGGAAAGGCATGTGGGGGGGTCTGCTGGGTGGGCGGGACATCCTGGAGACCCCTCTCTCCAGGGGAAGGGTGTGTGGAGGGGTGTCTGCTGGGTGGGTGGGACATCCTGGACGAACGGGTCTAAACATGGGTCTACAGGCAGGAGGGGGTAGGGGCGCAGAGTGGAACCCTGGGTGGGGAGGGCTGGGGGGTCTGTCTCGGGTACTCCCCCCAGGCTTTCCTCTCATGGGAATCTCCATGAAACCACTGTTTTTGGTCTCTCCCTAGAGCCAAGAGTTTGATATCTACACTCAGTATTGCAACAACTACCCCAAGTGAGTGGCGGGGTGCAGAGGGGAGGCAGAGCTGTTGGGTGGGTCCAGAGGGTTCCCCCCACCCCCACCCCAGCCTTCCCCAGGCGATGACCACGGCCTCCCTGCCCACTCCCAGCTCGGTGGCCGCGCTGACGGAATGCATGCGAGACAAACAGCAGGCCAAGTTCTTCCGGGACCGGCAGGAGTTGCTACAACACTCGCTGCCCTTGGGCTCCTACCTGCTGAAGCCCGTGCAGCGCATCCTCAAGTACCACCTGCTGCTCCAGGTAGCCCCAGCCCCTCCCGCACCGGGGGGCGGGGCTGAGACCTGTGGGCGGGGCAGCGGGGCCTGAACCTCCCTCTCGCACAGGAAATCGCCAAGCACTTTGATGAGGAAGAGGACGGCTTCGAGGTGGTGGAGGATGCCATCGACACCATGACCTGCGTGGCCTGGTACATCAACGACATGAAGAGGAGACACGAGCATGCCGTCCGGCTCCAGGTCCTGGGGGCCCGCGGTGGGACTCGGGAGATGGTGGGGGGGGCGACCGTGGCCGTGCCGCCTGGATGAGCCACGGTGGCCGGGTCTGCATGAGCCCCGGAGGCCTGTGGTGGGCTGACCCCGGCACCGGCCTCTCGGCTGCAGGAGATTCAGTCGCTGCTCATCAATTGGAAGGGGCCGGACCTGACCACGTACGGGGAGCTGGTCCTGGAGGGCACCTTCCGTGTGCACCGCGTGCGCAACGAGAGGACCTTCTTCCTCTTCGACAAGACGCTACTCATCACCAAGAAGCGGGGCGACCATTTTGTCTACAAGGGACACATCCCGGTAACCGGGCAGCCCACCCCTCTCCTTCCCGGGGCTCCTCCTGTCTGTTTCCTTGGGTTCAGGCGCCATCCCTCTGACGTGACCCTGCTGCTCCCCTGGGGACCCCAGCCGGGGACACGCCCCCCGCCCCGCCCCCCTCCACCACCCACCCCGCTCCGGGTTTCACGGCTTTTTCCCTCTGTCCCCAGTGCTCCTCACTGATGCTGATCGAAAGCACCAGAGACTCCCTGTGCTTCACCGTCACCCACTACAAGCACAGCAAGCAACAGTACAGCATCCAGGTGAGACTTGAGGGACCTCTGCTTACCTGGCTCTCCCAGGCTGCAGTGTCGGCGTGTGTCCAGTAGGGGTCGCTGCAGGCACTTCACCCAGGGTGGGGTCCCAGCACAGCCCCACAGCCACTGAGCAGGAGTTCTGGTCCTGTAGTAACGGCCCCGGGCTCCTTTCCCTTTGGTCCTCCCAGGCCAAGACGGTGGAGGAGAAGCGGAACTGGACCCATCACATCAAGAGGCTCATTCTGGAGAACCACCATGCCACCATTCCCCAGAAGGTGAGTCCCCAGGGTGCTGCTCCCCAGCCTCCCGCTCCTGCTGGGCTGCAGGGAGATTGTGCCCCCCACCCCCAAACCAGCTCTTGAGGGGCTGCTGGGGCCAGCTTACTGGATGGTGCCGGTAGGTCAGATTCGACGAGATCCAGCCCCGTGGGCGAGGGAGGCATGGTGCCCGGGAGGTGGTAACTAGCTGGCTTTCCTTCCCTTCCAGGCCAAGGAAGCCATCTTGGAAATGGACTCCTACTGTGAGTGCATGCTTCTCTGCCTGTTTATCCTCCAGGGTGCCCATCGCTAGGTCAGGCTGTGCTGAGGGGAGCTCTGTCTGACAGCCGGCGGTCAGCCGCCTGCGTGGTCAGGGCCTGGGTCCCACTGAGAATCTTGGTCCTAACGTTAGCAGGTGGAAGAACATGGGAGGTGGTGGGAGCTCTGGGGGATTCTGGCTCCTGTGGCTGGGCCAGGGCAGGGGTGGGGTGTGTGTATGTGTGTGTGAGATCCTGGCCAGGGTCAAGATCCCAGCCAGATGCCTGGTCCCCTCCCCCTTGTGCAGATCCCAGTCGGTACCGCTACAGCCCGGAGCGGCTGAAGAAGGCTTGGTCCTCCCAGGATGAGGTGTGCACCCAGCACGTGCGCCAGGGGCGCCGGCAGTCTGGTAAGGGAGGGGGGGCTGTGTGGGGAGAATCTGCTTTCTAAGACCCTTCACTGGGCTTGTGGCGACGTTGGGGGGGCTGTTGTTCCCAGCTCTCCAGAAATCCTGGGAAAGGCAGGGTGACGGGCGCTAGGCCTCCACCAGGAGCCCAGAGTCCTTGGTACCACATTGTGCAGTTCCCCTTAGGACCCCCAAAACACTGGTTCCCTCAGGCTCGGCTCCCTTCCATCCCCGTCTCCCCTTTGCCACTCAGTGGAAGGTTCTGGAATGACACAGCTGGAGCAGACCCTGGTCTTTTTGTTTTGTTTTGTTTTGTTTTTTGAAAGTCAAAGTCACACAGGTAGAGAAGGAGAGGCAGAGAGAGAGAGAGATATCTTCCATCTGTTGGTTCACTCCCCAGTTGGCCACCATGGCCAGAGCTGGGCCAATCCGAAGCCAGGAGCCAGGAGCTTCTTCCAGGTCTCCCATGCCAGTGCAAGGGCCCAAGGACTTGGGTCATCTTCCAGAGGGAGAGAGAGAGCAAGGGATGCCGGCACTGCAGGTGGAGGCTTTACCTGCTATGCCACAGTGCCGGCCCCAACCCTGGTCTTCAAGCAGCACCGAGTCCAGACGGGAAATGTTTACTCTGAGTCTAGAGCGGGGGGGTAATGTTGCATTTTCCTCTCCTGGGTTTTCTTCCGTCACTGGACTTGCCACTGTGTTCTGATTCACGGAATGAGTCACCTGGCTCTCTGGTGGTGATGGTGTGTGTGTGTGTGTGTGTGCACACTCTGCCAGCCTGTCAGAGGCCCAGGGAAAGGTCTCGGTCAAGGCGAGTACCTGTCGGCTGTGCACATGGGCTGGGCGTAGTAGGGGTGAGAGGGTCTGTGGGCCAGCTCCAAGGAGGATTTGGAGTGAGGAGGCAGTGTTCTGGCTTGGACCCCCAGGCGCACTGGGTTTTGATTGGCCCACTCCAGGGGTTGCTTGAACACCTGTGTGCGTGGACATGGGTGATGGCCTCCTAGGAGGCAGAGCCGGGTGGTGTCTGTTGTGTTTTGTCTTGTTTGACTTTGCTCTGGATGGGTCTTGAGCCCTAGGCAAGCTCGCTGTGGTTAACGTTTTATGGTTAAAAGTCCCCACATGGAGATGCTGTGTGGCTAGTCTCTGGCTGCCTTTCTTTCCCTCTCCTCTGGCCCTGTAATCATCTTCCCGTCTCCCAGGCTTTCTCTCTTAACTTGCCATAGCTTAACAAGGGTTCTTTTAAGAAGTTAAATGGAAACCGAACCTGTGGATTTAAAAAAACCTTTTGCACCAAAATAAACTTTTTTTTAAAGATTTATTTATTTATTTGAAACAGAGAGAGAAAAAGAGGCAGAGAGAGAGAGAGAGGTCTTCCATGTGATGGTTCACTCCCCAATTGGCCATCACTGATGGTGTGGGAGATGCCAGGTGTCCAGGGAACCTAGGGTGGCCGTCAGGGCAGCTGGCAGTGGAGGTGTTGATCTGTCCTCACGGCTCTTCCATGGCGCCGAACAGTGTCCTTTCTCATGGGCCCTGGTGTGTGTCTGTAGCAGCCCTTCCTCCCCTTTCGCCCTGTTGGAGATCAATCATTTATGTGGCACAGTGGTGAACATGTGTGGGTGCCCCTGTGCCATGGTGAGGTGCCTGAGTTTGCGTTCCAGTTCTGCTGCCAATTCCGGTTTCCTGCCAGCTCGCCCTGGGGAGGCCGCAGTGTTGGCTCGAGTGCTTGGGTCCCCGCCACCTGGGTGGGAGACTCAGATTGAGTTCCCGGCTCCTGGTTTTGGCCTGGCTCAGCCCTGGCTGTTGGTGGGCATTTGGGGAGTGAGCTGGTGGATGGGAGATTGCTCTGACTTTTAAATTTATTAGGAGACCAGGGAGTCGTTGAGAGGAAGGACCGGGGCCACGTGTGAAAGCTCATGGCCTGGCCTGGCCACCTGCTCCAGCCGTATCTGCGTCTTTTTTTTTTTTTTTTTTTTTTTTGACAGGCAGAGTGGACAGTGAGAGAGAGAGACAGAGAGAAAGGTCTTCCTTTGCCGTTGGTTCACCCTCCAATGGCCGCCGCGGCTGGTGCGCTGCAGCCAGCACATCGCGCTGATCCAATGGCAGGATCCAGGTGCTTCTCCTGGTCTCCCATGGGGTGCAGGGTCCAAGCACTTGGGCCATCCTCCACTGCACTCCCAGGCCACAGCAGAGAGCTGGCCTGGAAGAGGGGCAACCGGGACAGAATCCGGCGCCCTGACCAGGATTAGAACCCGGTGTGCCTAGCGCCGCTAGGTGGAGGATTAGCCTATCTGCGTCTTATCTGCTTCCTCCTTCCAGACAGCAGAGATGGGCAGACAGGCTCATGGGTGGGGAATGTCCGGCCTCCAGGCCGTATAAGGTCCGGGAAGTCATGTGGTCTGGCCCTGCCAAGGCACCCATAGGCAGGACTCAAAATTCAATAGATCTATTGTAGGCTGCTTTTCAAGGTGATAATCTTGTATGGCCCACAGATGATGTTATAAATATCCAAAATGGCCCTGGGTAGAACGAAAATTTCCCTACTGTTGCACTAGGTGAATAAGTCAGATCCGATATATATATATATATATATATATATAGTATAGTATATATATGATTATTATAAGTTAGAATTACAGAGAGGGAGAGAGAAAATCTCCCAACCGCTGGTTCACTCACTAAATGGCTGCAACAGCCCTGACTGGGCCAGGCCAAACCCAGGAGCCAGGAGCGTCTTCCAGGTCTCCCATGTGGATGCAGTTTCCCAAGCACTTGGGCCATCTTCCACTGCTTTCCCAGCCGAATCAGCAGAGAGCTGGACCGGAAGTGGAGCAGCTGGGACTCGAACTGGCACCCATGTGGGATGCCAGTGCTGCAGATAGTGGCTTAACCTGCTGTACCACAGAGCCGGCCCCTATATTATGTCTTATGTAGTTGGCTACTTTATTAAAGATTTTTTTAAAGATTGATTTATTTATTTGAATGGCAGAGTTGCAGAGAGAGAGAGACAGAGAGCGAGGTCTTCCATCCGCTAGTCCACTCCTCAAACAGCTGCAATGGTCAGGGCTGGGCCAGGCCTCGCCAGGAGCTCCGTCCTGTGGCGCCCACAGGGGATTCCGGCACTGCAGATGGCAGCCTAACCTGGCACAGCACAGCACCGACCCCTACAGAGTCTTTTTTTTTTTTTTTTTTATTTCAAAGGCAGAGAAAGAGAGAGACATACCTTCTGCTTGCTGCTTCCCTCCCCTAAATGGCTGTGATGGCCAAGGCTGGGCCAGGAGCCCAGAATTCTGAGCCTTCTCGTGGGTGGCAGGGGCTGAGCACTCGGGCCATCTTCCTCTGCTCTTCCAGGTGCATGAGCAGGGAGCAGGGTTGGAAGTGGTGCAGCTGCCACTCACACTTCCTACGTTGAAAGAATGAGACTTTTTCTGCTTCATACCTTAAAAACAATTAGGTATTTTGATGCAGATAGAATATGTGTATGTTGTGTGTGTGTGTGTGTACATGTGCACATGTGTGTGTTTCTTCCTTACAAAGTAAAGTTCTTCCTTACAAAGAGACTTCAAAAAGTTCTTGGAAAATGGTATTAACAGATAAGTTTATTTTGTTGCAAAAAAAATTGGAATCTCACACAGTTTTTTCATAAGTGCATTTTCCATGACCTTTTTATTTTAAAAAAATGATTTGAGAAGCAGAGGAGGAGTGAGAGAGTGCATGCACACATCTGCTAGTTTACTTCCCAGATGCCTACAACAGCCAGACCTGGGCTGGGGCTGAAGCCAGGAGCCAGGCACTGAATCCAGGCCTCCCATGTAGGGGGCAGGGACCCGCTCACTTGAGCCCCACCACTGCCTCCCGCGGTCTGTATCAGCAGGAAGCTGCCAGCATATTTGTGAGGGTGCGTGGAGTTCAGAATTGTCTCGCACGGCAATAAACTCACCTTTCCATTCCGTTTCCCACGCAGTCTTGGAGACACCTGTGTACGTTCTCCCGTCCCACTTGGCCAGCTTTCCTTCCGGTGCTGAGTGTAGAAAATCGGGGCCTACCGCTTCAAGCTGGGTGGGCTGAGGTCTCAGTAGAGGGGTCCCTGAAATCCTGTCCTCTGCCCCGTCATCCTTTCTGAGCTCTGTCCCCAGCAAGGCTGGGGTGCAAACTGTGGTCACCCTCAGCCTGATAGGTGTGTTCTGTGTCTGTCCCCAGAGCCTGGTCACCCTGTGCACGTCCAGGCAGCACTCCCCAGTGGGCAGCGAAGCCCCAGGATGCCAGGCCTTCGGGGCCGTAGGAAGTCGGGTGCGCCCTCTGCTCTGCAGCCGGGTGCCGTGGGGCGGCTTGGCAGTGGGTGTAGAGAATGCGCTAATGTGCTTCTTGCTGTAGCCGTGGGCCCCGAGACGGGCAGCATGGGGCCCAGTCCCTTCCTGTAGCCTGGGCCTCCTGGTGGGAGCTGCTAATGTAAGAACCAGGGCACTGCTGCTCTGGGGGCTGGCGGACACTGGCGGGAGCCTCCCTGGGGTTTTGGGCAGCCCTGGCCGAGCCTGAGTGGACTTTGAGCTGGTGAAAGGCTGGTAGTGCTGGGAGCTTGGGACCTTGGTCAGTGCGCGGCCACTTCTCAGGCTGCACTGACGCCACCATTTGCTTCTCCTCCTCAGAGCCCACCAAACACCTGCTAAGGCAACTGAACGAGAAAGGTGAGTGTGTGAGTGGCGGCACAGGGGACCACCTGGGCGGGAGGCTGTTGAGAGCTGCCTAGAGGCGTCTGGAGGGGTCGCTGCCTCTGTTCCTCCCTTGGGTCACCCCTTGCTGTCCAGGGAGGGGGCGGGGCTCGCGTGCTTTCCCTGGGTAGCACCTGCTGTACAGCCCGGGCTCCTGTTCCGTTGGTGGGCAGACTGGCTGAGGGCTGGGGTGGGAGCCTCTGGGTCTCGGGCCTCCCTGCAAAGGGGGCACTTTCTCCTGCTTATCAAGCTCTTCCTCTCCCCTCCCCCTCCCCCTCCCGCCGGGACCCCACTGTGCTGTCGGCAGCCAAAGCAGCTGGAATGAAGGTAAAGTCTGGGAACCCAGGGGCCAGGGAGGGGGTGGACGACTGGGGGGGAGGGGACACTGCCCAAGTCCTCCCCGGCCCCTTCAGCTCTCTTTCATTAAATACCTGACAGCATCGCCTGTGCACCGGGCTGTGAGGCATGAGGGTCCCCGAGATGAGTGAGACTCTGCCCCACCCCAGGGCCCTCCAATTCCCTCTTCCCGGACTGGCACCTGCTGCTGGCCCAGATACCAGATAACCTATCTTCTCGGTTTCTTCTTTCTCTGGGGCACGAGGTCTCTTGGGGGTCCTGAGTGCCTAACCACATTGCGGCCCCCCAGTGGGGACCCAGGGCTGGGTGTCTGGATGTGGTTTTCTGTATGGGGCCTCCCCGCCCCCAGCCACCTTCGGGAGGGGGAGGGGGAGGGAGGTTGCCCACGAGGCCGGTCACGAGGGCTCTTGTGCTCTGAACAGCACGCGGGCAGCGCTGGCGCCCTGCTGGACTTCAGACAGCCTCCCTGCTCCCGGGGCCTGGAGACGGAGGCTGAGAGGGCCGCCGAGGAGGAGCAGGAGGAAGAGGAGGAGGAGGAGGAGGTGGTGGAGGAGGAGGAGGAGGAGGAGGAAGAACAGGCCTTTCCGGTCTCTCTGGAGGACCTAGCAGGGCACGAAGGCAGCGAGAAGGGGGCCGGGCCGCAGCCCCCAGTCTCAGAGGAGGAGGAGGAGGAGGAGGAGGAGGAGGAAGAGAGTCTGGCAGTGGCGGAGCAGGTAGCTGACTTTGCCAGCTCCCTGCTGGCCGCCCTCCACTGCTGGCACTATCGGGCCAACGCTTTACTTTTCTCCCGGGGCGCTATGGTGAGGTGTCTCTTCGATCTCCCCTCCCCCTTGCATGTTCCCTGGCACGTGCATGCCCAGCCCTTGTCCTCGCTGCCCCGCCCTGGTTCCTTCACGCTTCTTAACCCCCTGGCTCGCTGTCACGCCCCGGTGGGCCTCTGGCATGCGCCAGCCCCAGTCTGGGCTCTAACCAGTAGAGTAACCACCCAGTGAGCGTGACCCGTGGGTTGAGGGCTTGGCAAGGTCAGGTCCACTTGGCCTTGAGGGGGGGTTGGGGGGACGCTGGGCTGGGCTTTTGTGACGCTACACGCCTGGCAAGGCTTCCTGGAGTGGCTCGGGTCCAAGGCGGGCTCCCTCGGGGTGCAGGAGGCGTGGTCCACATTGGAATGCACAAGGGACTGACCTTGATTGTCCTGCAGTTGACGCCTGGCCTCTCTTTGCTTCAGGGGAAGGGACGCAGGGAATCTGAAGGCCATAAGAGCTGCAGAAGGCCCAGCAACTGGTCTTCAGCGAGTGCCGAGAAGCGCACGAGTGTCGAGTCTGTCTCTTCCCTGCCGGAGGTGAGCGGCCAGGGGGGTGAGGACAGAGCTCAGATCTCCAGGTCTGCAGGCAGGGCTGTCCCTTCAGGAGGATGGGCATTGTCTACCCCAGGATTCTCACTCCTTCGGGAAGCCTGTCTGGCCCAGGGGTGTGCGGTTTGGTGAGGAGACAGGCACATTTCGGGTGCTGAGAGCCAGGTGTGGCTGGTGGCCACGGTGTGGGACAGTGCGGGTCTGGACCCTGGGTCCTGCCTCGCAGGTGCTGGAGAGAACAGATAGAGTCAGATGTGACGTCTCGGAATGCCGAGCACCTGCTGATGTCCCCCCCGCGGAGCGCTCGGCCAGCTGCCTGTGCGGCCAGTGCCAGGGTTCACGGCCCCTCCAAGGGGATCCCAGGGAGTTCTCGCACTCACTTCTGCCCCTGCCCATCTGCTGGGCGTATGCAGTCGCACTGGGCCCAGAGGTGCTGACAAGATCCCAGCCTGGGGTTGTGTCGCTGTGTGGAGCCTGAGCCACACAGCTCCTCAGGCAGCGTGAGAGCCCTACAGCCCTCCGTGCACAGTCTCTGGGAGCTGCCTGGCCCTCGGGCACTGCTTCCTGGAGCCGCGGCCTTGCAGGGTGCCTGGGGCTGTGCTTGAGCGGTGTTGGCGGAATCCCCCCTCGTCCCTCTTGCCCTCTGCTGCAGAGTCGTGTCGGCAGCCCACCCCATCGGCATTCTAGCTTTGTCCTCGGGTTTCAGCTGCAGGGCGGCTGAAGCACCCTATTACCTGCCCACCTCTGTAATGACCGGCCCCCTGCTGAGTTGTGCATCTTGGTTGCATTTGAGCCCAAGTTGTAGGCTCCTCTCACTGGGCTCTGAGCCAGCCAGGCTCATCTCATGGGTCTCATGAAGGAGGTGTTTTGTTTTGTTACATTTAATCAATAAATTTGAGGGTCCCACGCTGTGGCGCAGCAGGTTAAAGCCTCAGTCTGCAGTGCCAGCAACCCATACAGGTGCCAGTTCGAGTCCTGGCTGCTCCACTTTTGATCCAGCTCCCTGCTGATGCACCTGGGATAGCAGTAGAAGATGGCCCAAGTCCTTGGGCCCCTGCACCCATGCAGGAGACCTGGAAGAGTCTCCTAGCTTCTGGCTTCAGCCTGGCCCAGACCCGGTGGGTGCAGCCAATCAGGAGTGAACCGGTGGATGGAAGACCTCTCTTTCTCTGCCTTTCAAATAAATAAATCTTTTAAAAAAAATACATTTGAGAGTGACCACAACAGCCAAGGCTGAGCCAGGCCAAAGCCAGAAGTTAGGAACTGCATCTGGGTCTCCCACGTGGGTGGCAGGAACCCAAGTACTTGGGCCCTGGCCTGCTGCCTCCCAGCGTGTGCGTTAGCAGGAAGCTAGATCGGATGCAACCCCAGGCGCTCGGATGTGGGGTGTGTGGGCCTTGCGGTCGCGGCTCGGCCACGAGCGCTCCGTGCTGTGTTCCAGGTGGAGCCGGACCCCGAGCCTGGGGCGGAGCCGGAGGAGGTGTTCGCAGCCGTGGAAGGGCCCGGCCCGGAGGAGATGCCGTCGGACAGAGAGTCTCCAGAACCCCTAGAGATGCAGCTGGACGCCCAGGCGGGGCCGCTGGGGACGGATCCCCCTGGGGACACGCTGGACTTCGTGGTGGCCGAGAGCCCCGAGGACCTGAAGGCCCTGAGCAGTGAGGAGGAGGAGGACATGGGGGCCGCGCAGGAGCCCGAGAGCCTCCTGCCTTCCTCCGTGCTGGACCAGGCCAGCGTCATCGCCGAGCGCTTCGGCAGCAGCTTCTCCCGGCGGAGCAGCCTGGCGCTGGACGATGGCCGGTCCAGTGGCTTGGGGACGCCGCGGCTGGTCAGCAGGAGCAGCAGCGTGCTCAGCCTGGAGGGCAGTGACAAGGGCCCTGCCCTCCGGGCCAGCCCCACAAACTCCCTGGCCTCCCAGCCCCCGCCGGAAGCGGAAATGGACGTCGGCGTGGGCGTGGCCACGGAGGGCGGCACTTCCGTCGACGGGCCGGAGCTGCCCGGCGCTGGGGGCTGCCCCGCGGAGCCGGACCGGCCTTTGTGCCGGAGGAAGGACTCGCTGCTGTCCACGCGGGACCGGCTGTTGCTGGACAAGATCAAGAGCTACTACGAGAGCGCCGAGCACCACGACGCCGGCTTCAGCGTCCGGCGCCGCGAGAGCCTGTCCTACATCCCCAAAGGCCTGGTGCGGAACTCGGTGTCCAGGATCAACAGCCTGCCCCGGCCGGACGCGGAGCCCGCGGCTGCCGCGGGCTGCAGGAGACCAGCGGGCTCCCGGCCGGCCTCGTGGGCCCTGTTCGACCTCCCGGGACCGAGCCAGGCGGGCGCCCACGACCCGGCTCCCGTCTCGGAGGCGGAGTTCCGCCCGTCTTCGGAGATGGTGAAGATGTGGGAGACGATGGAGGCTTCCCAGGGCAGCCCCCGGGGCGGCCCGGGCCAGGCCAATGGCTTTGACCTGCACGAGCCCCTCTTCATCCTGGAGGAGCACGAGCTGGGGGCCATCACTGAGGAGTCGGCCGCGGCCTCGCCCGAGAGCACCTCCCCCACCGAGCACCTGGCCCGGGAGCTGAAGGAGCTGGTGCAGGAGCTGAGCAGCAGCGCGCAGGCCGAGCTGGTCGCCCCGCTGCACCCCCGCATCGTGCAGCTGTCCCACGTGATGGACGGCCGCGTGAGCCAGCGCGTCAAGAACAAGGTCTACCAGCTGGCCCGCCAGTACAGCCTCCGGATCAAGAACCGGGCGGCGCTGGCCCGGCCGCCGCTGCAGTGGGAAAGGGCGGCCCCCGACAAGGATGGCGGCAGGAGCCCCACCAGCCCCTGCCCGCAGCAGGCGGCCCGAGAGCCATCTGGTGCTACAGGTACAGCTTCAGGGGCGAGCTCATGCTGCTGGTGATGGTGGTCGTGGGGGGGAGATGGGACCTCTAAAGAGAGGGCTGGAGCCTGGCAGCCCTTGCATTGCTCCGAGGCCCACTCTGTGCTCCCCTTGTGCCCTTCCAGTTCCAGACTCCTAGCCTTTGGAGGAAAAGTAGCCTTGGGCTTCCTCTTGGCCAGGGTGAGAGCTGGCTGGCCTCCTCCTGTGACTCTGAACACCCACGGCCCTTTGATAAGGGGGCAGAGACGGGTCCACGGAGTTAGGCCACAGCCACCAGCCAGGCTGGGACTGGGCTGGGGACCCGCAGAGCCCCTCCCTGCCTGCTTCCCGCCTGGTGCATCAGCTGCCCACTCGCTCTCTCCTCACAGCTAAGAGGAAGCCGTTGCTGGCCCTCAACCCGGAGCAGCCGGCCAGCCCTGAGCACAGAGACCCCAAGGCCTCCCCTGCTGGGGACCCTTCGGCTGCCAGCCCCAGGACCGCCTCGCCTGGGGTCCGAGCCAGCTCCCGGAGCCCCCTCAGCCCCTTCGACACCGAGACCTTCAGCTGGCCCGACGTGCGAGAGCTGTGCTCCAGGTACGCGTCCCACGACGAGGCCGTGCAGGCTGAGGGTGGCCGACCCCGCGGCCCGCCGGTCAACCGGAGCCACTCCGTGCCCGAGAACATGCTGGAACCGCCGCTGCCCGCCAGGGCGGGCCGCTGCTGCAGCCTGAGCGCCGAGCCGGGTGGGCCCGCGGGAGGCGAGGCCCTGCACGTCACCGCGGACGTCACCCTGGAGAACCATCGGCGGGTGATCATCATGGAGAAGGGGCCCCTTCCCGCGGGGCTGGAGGAGGAGGGCAGCGGGCAGGGCCCAGGCTCGCCGGCAGCCGGGGCGGGGCAGGGCCCCAGGGACTTGCACGCGCCAGAGGAGGAGGGGCCGAGCCAGCGGGGCCGCGTGAGGAACCTGAGGGAGAAGTTCCAGGCCTTGAACTCCGTGGGTTGACTGTGACCGTGCCCCCCACTCCCTCCCAAGGCGGGAGGAGGCACAGTCGGGGCGGGGAAGAAGCTGCCGGGCGTCCCCTGGGCCGGGGCTCCCGCCAGCCCCCAGCCCCCCCCGGAAGAACGTCCCAGCGTGCGTGGGGCTCACCTGCGCGTGCGTGCCGGCTGTCAGCCCGCGGCAGCCGCTCTGCTCTTGTAAATACTCCCTCCTTGGTGTAAGAAGCCGAATGTTTCAAGCTCAGCGTCTTCCCCGGGCAGAGGCAGCCCCGGGGGCTCGGGAGAGGCCTGGGGACAGGCTCTGCTCTGCAACTCTGCCTCCTCTCGGGGTCCAGGCAGCCGTGAGGCCAATAATTTATTGCTTTCCCTCCTGTGGTGTGCGTGCGTGCGTGCGTGAGCGAGCGAGCGAGCGTGGGGTCCCTCCTGTGAAGACCGCCGTGGCCCGCGCCTGTGTTGTGAGGCTTGTCGCTCCTGTACACACATTTCATTATTTGCCAACGGTGCAATAACCACTGACCAACCGGCCTGCGTGTTGCCTCCTTCCTGGGGCCCGGCCAGGGGTGGGCCTGGGGTGGCTCGGGGGAGGCGGGGACTGGGGGTGGTGAGGAGGGCAGCCGAGTGTGTGGGAGGGGACCCGCTCCCTGCTGCTGCTGTTCCCAGGGGCCTTTCTGTCTGCCAGCAGCCTGGGGTTCTGTCTCCAGCATGCCAGTCTTGGGCTGTTTTCCCCAAGAGACAAAGTTGAACTTAAAAACAGAGGCCAGGGATGGCGAAGGGAACGTTTTGCTAATACACAGCAGTTTCCGGTGTCTGGTACCTCTTATTCCTCTCGCCCTCTCCAGTCCCCAGGGCATGTCCACGGAGGCGTGGCTTCTAAATTTGGAGCCTCACAGTGCCCTGAAGCGGCTCCCGACACTGGGTGAGGGGTGGGAGTGCATTTTTCTGGGATGGAGCCTCTGTTTTCCTTGCATTCCCACAAGGGACTGATTCCCAAGGCCTAGGAATGCCTCTCTGTTTGTACATGGCTTTTCTGCCTTTTTCTGCTCAGAAGCCCAGCCTTGCCTTCCCCGGTGTGTCCTGGCTGGGGTCTGGGCTGCAGGGCCCCCATATGGGCACTGGTTCGAGTCCCGGCTGCTCCACTTCTGATCCAGCTCTCTGCTGTGGCCTGGGAAAGCAGTAGAAGATGGTCCAAGTCCTTGGGCCCCTGCACCCATGCCAGAGACCAGGCTTTGGATTGGCACAACTCCGGCCATTGTGGCCAATTGGGGAGTGAACCAATGGATGGAAGACTCTCTCTCTCTCTCCCTCCCTCCCCCTCTCCCTCCCCTCTGCCTCTTCTCTCTGTGTGTAACTCTGACTTTCAAGTAAATAATAAAAAAAAAGGATCATATGGGGAGGTTTTTTTTTGTCCTTTTTTTTTTATTGCTTTGTTTTTAAAGATTTATTTATTTGAATGGCAGAGTTACAGAGAGAGCAGGAGAGAAAGCAATGAGAGCAATCTTTGATCTGCTGGTTCACAGGAAGTGGTTGTCATGACTGGGGCTGGGCCAGGCCAAAGCCTGGAGCCTGGAACTCCATCTGGGTCTCCCAAGTGGATGGCAGGGGCCCAAGCACTTGGGCAACCTGCTGCTGCTTTCCCAGGTGCATCAGCAGGGAGCTGGACCAGAAGCGGAGCAGCCAGGACTGGAACTGGCATTTGTGGAGTGCCAGTGGCATGCAGGTAGTGGCTTTACCTGCTGTACCACAACACTGGCTCCTGCGGAGGTTTTTTTGTTTGTTTTAATTTATTTGAAAGAGTTACACAGGGAGAGAAGGAGAGGCAGAGAGAGGGGGGGATCTTCCATCTGCTGGTTCACTTTACAGTTGGCCTCAACGGCTGGAGCTGTGCCAATCAGCCATCTTCCACTGCTTTCCCAGGTCATAGCAGAGAGCTGGATTGGAATTGGAGCAGCCGGGACTCGGACTGGCGCCCATACGGGATGCCAGCACTGCAGGCAGCGGCTCTACGTAGACCGCCAGTGCTGGCCCCGGGAGTATTTTTTGAAAACCAGCAGTGGGGCGGTTCCATGTGCCAAGGATGGAGTCCAGACATGGAGAGCCCAGTGGTGCTGTGGCCAGTGAGGGCCGGGGTCTCTGTCCTGAGTGGAGGGAAAGGCCTGGCCTCACCTTTGCTCAGAAAGGATTTGGCTCTGCAGCAGCTCTTCAAATCGGCTGAGTGCACCAGGGAGCGAGGTTTGCTCAGGGCCACAGGTGAGGCCCAGGGCCTGGGTGCTGGCACAATCACCCTGTGAGACTCCCAGGGACGAGCTGTGGTCTGGCTGTCCCTCTGTCCCCACGGTGCCGGCCCTCTGAGTCCCAGAGCAAGGAGAGACACATCTAATCACTTAAGAGACTGAGCAAAAATATGGAGCATTATTGATTTATTAGAAAAACTAGTAAAGGGTTTCCTCTGGTTGGTGGAAGTTAACATCTGAGCAGGTGGAGGACGAGGCCCGGCCGGCCCCAGGGCCAGCCCCAGATCGCGTGCTCTGCGCTCAGCGTTGCCTCCCTTGCATCCTCCCGAGTGGACTCGTCCAAGGGGCCCAGCTGTGTGGCCCACTGGCCTCTTCCTCTGGATCTCTGCCCTTGTCCGAAGCCTTGGGGACCCTGGTTGCCCTCCGAGAGGGAGGAGGAGTGGTGTGGAGGGGGAAGCTGGGTCTTTCTCAGGCCACCTGTTAACAGGTGCCAGTGGAGGTAGGGTGGGGAGGGAAGCTGAGGACCCTCCCACCCCCTCACCCTCCTCCAGCATCAGTTGAGGCCAGGGACAAGAGGGAAAGAGGACCACCTGGCCATGCCCAGGACGAGCTGCCCTGGGGAGGAAGCCTGTTTATGCTGGTGTGGACTGGAACTGTGTCAACCTAGTTTGAGAATACTGTCAAAGGACTATGAGTAGAAAACATACGGAGGAAGAGAAGACCTCACCAGGGCACGGGGGGCTCAGCCCTGGCATAGCACAGGGATCCCCCCACCCCACCCCGAGCAGGATGCCTGCAGCAGCAGTCCGCTTAGCTGAGTGTCCTGGGGCCTGGCGGTGCGGGCTGGGTGCATGGGGAGCTGGCAACAGATGGTGGGTCACATGCAGCTGGCTTGGGGACCTCGGGTGTGAAACCCCAGCTCTCCCATTGGAGCCCTCGCCTCCTCGGGTCTGTGGGCTGCTCGCTGAGGACGCCTCGGTTCAAGTGCTTTTGGCACACGTGGAGGGGAGAGGGCAGGCGGGCAAGCTCTCCCAGGGAAGCAGTTGAAGCAGGTGCCTGCCCCCGGTCTGCCCTTCAGCGGGGATTCTGCTGTGCGCCCCTGACAAGGACGTGCCCTGTGATGCACGGAGCCTGCCTTGTCGCCAGGTATGTGCAGTCACTGCAATGCCTCCTGCCTTGGTTTCCCCGGGCATAGGGAGAGGCTGCTGAATGCTGCACACCAGGTTTCCCACAGGAGCAGAGCACCTTGGGGTCCTGTGCATTGAGGCCAAGTGAAGACCCTGCCTACGGGATGGGGAGCTCAGGCTCTGGGGGGGGGGTACCTTCCCCTCCTGTGGCTCTCGGTGGTGGCAGCTGGCTCCCCCTGCCCACAGCATTGGGGCCACAGGGTGGCATTGCTCGCTCAGCTGTGCCTGGTTTGATCAACACTGTGGGCTCCAGGAAGGCGTCTTAGCTGTGGCTGCCACCTGAGCCTTGCCCATGTCATCTCCAGGTGTCCCAGGCTCCTTCCCGGGGTGGGGTGGAAGCGGACAGAAGCAGTGACCGCAGGCTGTGGGGGGACCTTCATGGATTCCCTGGGGGCAACCATCTGCTGCCCCCAGCCTGACCCCAGTTAAGAGGCTGGGCTGTGGCTGTATTTGCTTTCAGAGGGGAGTGGGGGAGATCCTTGTGGAAACCCTGACGCCTCCTCTGGAGGTCTGACCTTAGCTTGAGCGGGGCTCTCCCCGGGACACAGGTTGCTGTTTCCTTCCCATGCCTGGGGACAGGTGGCCGCAGACGGGACCTCTGCACCTATGTGAACTCCCCGAGACCCAAGACCAGGTACGTCCCGGGGAAGCAGATCAAGGGGCAGCACACCTTCCTGGCTCTGGTCCCAGCTGTCCAAGGATAGTTGTATCCTGTTGGGGGTGGTCCTACCTCAGTGTGGCCACATTAGCCACCCTGAAGTGCTGGGTGATCAACTCAGCTGCCTGTCCAGTCCATAGCATCGACAGGACGCACCTGGGCGTAGGCTTGGGGGTTGGCTCTCTAGGTACTGGGGCCTGCACTGTCTGCCTACGGGGCCCTGCTGGGGGATATTGCTGGCTTGGCTGCTGCTAGGGCTGGGTGGAAGGTCCCAGCCTGCAGAGGCAGAACCCTGGGCTGGGTTAGACCATGTGTTGCTCCTTGGGTCTCAGCTGGCAGCTCTCATCACGGCTTTGCGGGAGGAATGGACTGGCGTTCTCCCTCTTCCACCTGTGCTAGCGGCCAAGGGCACTGCAGGCAGCAGGAGGCTCCTTCAGTGTGTGTAGGGGGGCGCTCTTTGGGTTTCTTTTCCTGGTAGGAGGAGCAGAGAGGAAGGGACACGGTGGCCCCTGTGGTGAAGCCCAGTGGGGAGGAGGCTGGCACATGTGAGGCCCTGCATCCCATGTGTCCCTGTGGCCCCAACAGCCCCATGCCTAGAGCTGGGGCTCTGGGGACCCCCACCTGAGGGCTCCTTCGCAGGCCTCGAGGGGCAGCTCCCCCATTCCAGTGTCCACCTCCCTTTCTCTTCCCCTTCCCCTGACTGTGACCAGGTCAGAAGTGACCCCAAGCAAGATTTGCTTTGGGAGTGGGTAGTGTTTGGGGAACCCCGTCAGCTGCCATCTCCAGCGTTTGTGGGGTGTAGGGGGACTGGTGCACCCTCAGCTCAGGGGAGGGTGGAGAGCGGAGGGCAGGCGCTTCAGGGAACTGTTTTCTGGCCCCACAGGAGCTGGGAGCCCTCATCCCCGGAGGCAGAGGGCGTGGAGGCGGGCATCGGATGGCCAGGCCGGCAGAGGCAGCTATTACAGCGCAGCGGCGTGGGGCCCTGGCCAGGCGGGGGGAGGTCACGGCCACGGCCACGGCACCTGCCCAGGCCCACCCACTGCTACTTCTTTTTGGGGAAGAAGCTGAATCTCTTCTCTTTGTCTTTCTTGCTGAGGCTGGCATCGGGGCCGGCGAGGGAGGGCAGGGGCAGGCTCTGCGCCTTCACGCGGATGCTCTGGGACTCGTTGATGGCCGTGCTCACGCCCTGCAGCCAGGACAGCATCTCCTCCTGTCCGAGGGATGAGCGGGGCTGAACCTGGCCTCCAGGGCCCCATCGCACTGGGGTGCCCTGAGGTCAGGGGGCTGGGGTCTCCTCCACCTGCCCCTCTGTTGGCTACGTCAGGCACGTACCTCGTCTTTGCCGTGGAAGAGCCATTCGCTGCCATTACTCAGCCTGGGAGGATGAAGGGTTTGTTGTCACGAAGCCAGCTGTGGGGGCCTGGGCCTGGGCAGAGGGCTAGCTCTGATCCCGCAGTCCCCCCAGCCCAAGGTGCAGCCCCCCCTCGGTAGCTCAGCAGCTTTCGAAAGAGGTAAAAAGCTGCACCCTCCGCCGTTGTGATTAGAGCTGTACCCACTCAGTTCTGGAGCTGCTCCCTTCCGGTGCACCTGTCCCCAGGCAGGGGACCGTGGCCAGGGCAGCCTCACCTCAGCTTAAAGACGTGCTTCTTCTTCTTGTAGTTGGCGGCGATCTCACAGATGGCGTGTCTCAGGGCCAGGGGCTCCTCCCCGTGGTAGGGTACCCCCAGGGCCAGGTTCTTGGCATCTTTGTAGAAGGTCAGCTCACAGTTCTTGAGCACACAGTACAAGTTGTTCCACGACCTGGCAGAGGCAGACAGGCAGATCAGGCAAGGTCCCTAGATGGCATCGCTACAATTACTTCCTCTAGTGCTACTGTTTCTTTTTGGGTACTGATAGTGATACATTTTATTGTTTTGTTTCTTCGTTTAAAAAAAAACAAATGCAGTAGGTGTTTGGTCTAGCAGTTGAGACCACTGCTTGGGATTCCTGCTTCCCATATTGTACAGCCTGGGTTTGAGCCTTGGCTCCCGATTCCAGCTTCCTGCTAATTCACACCCTGGGAGGCAGCAGATGGTAGCTGAAGTGCTTGGGCCCCTGCCAGACTGGGTTCCTGGTTCCTGTCTTCAGCGTGGCTCAGCCCTTGGCTGTTGAGGGGAGTGGCTCAGTGGGTCAGTGGATGGGACCTTGTTTTTGTTTGTTTTCATTTTGTTTGAAAGGCAGAGCTTCCGTCTGCTGGTTCACTCCCGAAATGCCTGAAACAGCTCGAGCTGGGCTGGGGCACAGCCAGAGGCCTGGAACTCAGTCTGGGTCTCTCATGGGTGGCAAGCAGTCTGAGGCAGAGGGAGTCCTGGATGGGCCAACCCCAAAGACACGACTGTCTCAGGTCAGGAAGGGAGCAGCTGTTGCTTTGCTTCCTCAAGGTCCAGGAGTCACTGGGTGACAGCACCAGGAGGGACCCGCAGAAGGTTATCTCCCGTTTCACAGATGAGGGGACTGAGGTTCAGACGGGTAAAAGTTGGGGATTGGTCCTGGACACATCGTTGGTGCCAAGTCTGCCCCACCTGTTACCCAGACCTGGGATAGCAAATTTCGCCAGGCACGGGGCCACTGAAAAGGCAAGCCAGTGCTGGCATCTCCATTCTACAAGTGAGGAAATAAACAGGGAGAGGCGGGGTCACTCAGACCCCCGGGTCTGCACGTGGGACCAGAACCAACGGTGATGGGAGCTGGCTGTGGCGTGACCCCCCGAGGCCCGAGCGTCCTGTGTTAAGGGCCCTGAGTGGGTGGTGTGCAGGAGCTGGGCCTGGTGGGCGGCCTCAGTTACTGGGGTGTGGCCTCAGGCGGTCTCAGGGTGAGGCTGCTTTGCAGCCCTAGTGGGGCGTGGCCTTTTTCTGCCTCCTGGCTCACCTGCAACCTGCAGTCTCCCTGGGCTGGCTTTGTGCATCACCACTGCTTCCCTCATCAGAGGCCCAACCACTGGGGGGGCGCTGCTCTTGAACTTGACCCTCTGAAATCGAGCTAAACCTTTTCTCCGTGAAGTTCATTTCTCTCAGGTCCAATCCTTATGAATCCCCCAAGCTATCAGACCACAGGTGGTGGCCACCTCTGCCCCCACCTGTGGCCACAGTAGCTGCCAGCCCACCCCACCCACCTGTTGGATGCCTTCTTGTTGGGCCCCTCCAAGTCGTGCTTGCGGCCCAGGTAGCCCTCCATCTGCACGCTGTGCGCGTGGGCCCGCTGGGCTGGCAGCGTGGCGGGCTCGTCCCCCTCGCTCAGCGGGGTGTCCAGGACCTTAAAGAGGGGCTCCGTGGCGGGCCTCTCGTCTGCAGCAGATTGCTCCTCTGGGCCGTCCTGGGGCTGCCCTGGCGGGGGCGGCGGCTGCAGGTCCGGAGGCCACGTTCCCCCTTCTTCCCCCTGCTTGGACACAGGGAAGGAGCACACCTTTGCTATTCCCAGCAAAGTGGGGCCATCAGCAGGCCCGCGCCTGAGCCTGGTCCCTTTCCACCATGCGTACCCACCTGCTTCCTCAGCCTCTGCTCACACTCGGGACTCCATTCCCAGTTCACAGAGGGTGGGTGCCCACCCCCGCCGCCAAGCTAACACAGCAACAGAAGGTTCTTGGGGGAGCCGGAGGGACGCAAGGAATGCCCTCAGGCAGGACAGGTGTGGATACTGCTCGCAGAGCCCAGCTGTGCCCTGCTCTGGGCAGACACTGCAGCCGCGTGGCATGAGAGGGGCCCGTGGGCATTCCTATAAAGGTTTCGATGCTCAGACCAGTTTGAAAACTAGTGGCACTTGGAAGGTGACTGATGGAGCCCTCCTGCTCCCTTCAAAAGGAGTCTGAAGCCCTCGTGCTGTGGGCACCAGGCCCTGGGTGCCCACCCTGGGGACCCTCCTCGGCCTTTATCAGCTCTAGCAGATTCCCCCTACCCTGGCTGGCGTCTGTTGGAAGGGGCGGGGGTCTGAACCATGGCTACAGCTTCCCCAGGTACTGGGAGCTGTGGAAACATATTCTCCAGCCCCACCATCAAAATGCTGAGGTTGCTGGCCTGGGGTGGGCAGCAGAGGGGGAGAATTACTTCCCCAGGGCATCCTGGGGCCTTGCTTGTCATTCTTGTCCCGCCAATGGCCAGGACAAGCACGGAGGTGGTGTCTCCTGGGCGCCGCACAGGCAGCCTCGCCTTCCTGAAGACCCCGGCCCAGAGGCCTGACCACTGGAGGACTCACAGCCTGAAATGGATGCCACCCCACACAGGCCACCTCTGGACACCCGAAGGCCCAAGGACACTGACAGCTCGGGAGGACCAGGGCCACCCCAGGTAGCAAGGAGTCTCTGTTCCTTTCCTGCTCCTCTCCCTGCCCCAGCAAGCGAAGACGGTGGTCAGATGGGGGGTGGGAGTGGGGAGGGTCTCTCCCCGCCATGGGTTCTGCAGGCCGTGGGTCAAACCCGGCATGGAGGTGCTGGGGACAGGTGGAAGTGGGCGCCCCTCTGGGCATCAGGCAGAAACCCCGCCTTAAAGCACACTGGCTAGACTTGATGGGGGCGGGCTCTTGGAATGGGGCGGGGGTGTGGGCTCCATGGAGGTGTTTGAGGGCGTGGTTGGAAGAAGAAAGTTACTCATGTTTGCGACCCATCCAATTGAGACCCTTAGCAAACAGGGCTCCAGGAGAGTTTCATGTCGAGAAAGCCATGGTATGGCTGGGAAAGCTTGTAAACCATTGACCCAGAATTCCAGTGCACAGAGAGGGGAAGTGATCTGCCCAGGGTCCCATAGCCGGGAGGCACAGGAGGAATCAGCCTGGCTGGCCTGGCCTTTGTCATTATCTCTCTAGGATGCTCATCTCCTCTGGCCTCACAGCTCCTCCAGGGGAGAAGAGGGGCTGGGCTACCCTCATCTCTATACATCTCAGATCGCCCATGGTTGGCCAGCACCAGCCACAGGGACTGGGACCCCTGGCCCTGCCTGGATCGTCCTTTAGAAGGAGAAGAGGCTGGGGAGCCTGGTCTGGGGTCCTTCTGACCATAGCTTGTGGCCATGTAGGGGTGGAGGGAACTGGAAGAGGTGGGGCCTCGGGCAAGGTGGCCAGGTCGTGGGAGGGGTTCACGTGGCTGTCACTGGTCCCCAGGGAGTCCTTAAGGGAGAGAGTTTTATAAAAAGAGCGAGCCTAGCTCCTGTATGTCTCTGGCTTCCCACGTCACCACCTGACCACGCCCTTCCCTGTACGCTAACCACGGTGCCACCCTCCCCATTGCGATGCACTCAAGGAGGGGGGTGGACCCAGCTCTGCTCTGTCAAGTAGGCAGCTTCGTTCTGTTGTCATAGCAACAGAAAAGGGGCTAAGCCAGGGAGGACCCCACTGGACCCTCCCCCACAGCCACCCCCGCCCTTCTCACATGACTTCACCCCACTCCCAGCACTGGTGTCGGTAGAAACCTCTATGCTACAACATCCACCAGACTTAGCTACTTCTCCCTTTGCCCCTCCTTAGAGAATAAAGGTGGGCTTTGGCCAGGACTGACTCCCCACTGAAGTCCACCTTCCCCTATTTCTTCTTCACCTGGCCCATGGTCCTCGGTGGGGACACACAGAGGCCAGGGCCAGTGCCATTGGAAGCTAGGTGGTCATGGGTTGGCTTTGGAGAACAAGGCTGCCCAATGTGAGCCAAGATTTCTCCCGTGTTCTTGGAGATGAATTCAACACATGCTGACCCCTCCCTCGACCAAGGTCAAGGTCGGAAAAGGAGGAGCTGAAGATGAGGGTGGGAGATGGAGGCTGTGGAAGGGGATGCAGATGAGAAAGACGTGGTTGGGGGGCGGAATGAGGGTGGGTGCAAGAGAGAGATGATGGCCTTGGGGACCAATGCTTTCTTCCCATCCTCAGCTCCGAGGGAAGCTGGCTGACTCCCCAGGGAGGAGGCACCTGCAGGGGCTGTGGCGGAGGAACAGGGGGCTTCGAAAAAGGCCACGAGAGCAGAGACTCCTGTAGGCTTCCAGAGGTGTCTGACTCCTGCCCTTAGCCCCCTCCTGCTCGACCACCAGCTGGGACCACCTGCAGGAGCCCGCAGCCTGCTCCCACTGGACTCTCCCCATGCTCCACGTGCACACCCTGTCCAGGGCTCAAAGCCTGGGTGTGGGATCAGACAGGCTGGGAGTGAGCATCCTGCATCTCCAGCATCGCTCGTGCTTCCTGACTGTGTTGGTGACGAGAAGGGAGGGGAGGGACACGGGTGGTCTGAGGCCTGGTAACATAGGCTGGCATCTGCACCCATGGGCTCTGTAATGCTCTTTCAGCCCTATCGGCCCACCAGCTCCCTCCTTGGGGCATGGCTGTGGCAAGGGCCCCAGCTGGCTAGCATGATGACCTCCAAACAAACTTTTAGCTCTAGAGTAGAGGATGTTTGGGACTGAAAAAGGGGTGAGTGGACTCTCAGCCATTGGCAGGTAAGGCCTCAGTTCCTCTTCCTGTGGCCGGAGCAATCCAGGCCCGGAGACGGGAATGGGGGGCCCACATGAATGGGGAAGGCAGCTGGGAGCCCACCCAAAGCATGGAGCTGGGCACGGATGCAGAGGGGCCTGGGAAGGCAAAGGCAGAAGCCCCTAGATGGTGCTACGTAGTGGAAGTTTCTGGTGATTCCCATTTAGATTTTTACAAGGAGCCCACAACCTTGCAAAGACAAGACTTCAAGGAAGACTGTGTTGGGGCATATCAGGGTGGACAGATCCTTTTCTGAAGCCAAAACCATCTCGAGAATTACTCTTGGGTTGCAGTCTGCAGAGGGAGCGGTCGAAGGCAATGCAGCCTCATGCCGCTGGGCAGCCTGCTTGTTGCCTGGGTCCCTCCTGCCACAGCTGTGAGCTGTGGAGGGGCCGGCACTGTGGCATAGCGGGTAAAGCTGCTGCCTGGACTGCCGACATCCTATATGGGCACCAGTTCGAGTCCCGACTGCTCCACTTCCTATCCAGCTCTCTGCTATGGCCTGGGAAAGAAGATAGCCCAAGTCCTTGGATCCCTGTACCCATGTGGGAGACCCGGAAGAAGCTCCTGGCTCCCGGCTTTGGATTGGCCCAGCTCCGGCTGTTGTGATTATTTGAGGAGTGAACCAGTGGAAAGACCCCCCCCCCCCCCCGCCTCTCTCTAACTCTGCCTTTCAAATAAATAAGTCTTAAAAAAAATGTTCTGTGGCAATCTTTACTATGTGAATCGCAGGCCATAATTTTTCTGGGGACTTTTATTTCCAGCAGTGCCCCTGGGAGGGTGTTGTAGGCAGGCTCAGGGGTATGGGTGTGGCGGGGAGTGCGGTGGGTGAGTGGCACTGATGTGAGAAAACAGATTCTCAGAATTCTAGAGCTGGGGAAAGGTTTTGGGTCATTGGATTTGGCCCCTCCTTTTATATATGTGGAATCTGGGGTCTGGAAAAATGCAGTGATCCCTGGGCTCACACAGCACGCTAGTGGGAGAGCTGGCTTCTGTTTCCCTAATCTGAAAGGCGTATGTCCCAGGCTGGCCAGCTGGTGCTGGGCCCACGGGGGTAGTTGAACCACAGGCATCTAAGTGGTTGCACACAGATCCCCTCCTGTCCGGAGCTGCCTGAGACCAGGTGAGACCTGCACTGGAGATGTGTTCATCCCTGCCTCTTTCTAGACTGGATCTGTCAAGGACTTCCTGGCTGAGTGATGAACCTGTGCTGACCTGCGGCCCCTGGGGTCAGGCTGGTGGCATGCTTTGGGAAGCAAGGCTTCAGGGCTCAATAAGCTGGAAGAAGGGCGGAGAGCGTGGTCCTCCTGCTGCCCCTGGAAGCTGCAGTCCCAGGCCAGCAGAGGGATCGAGGGCAGAGAGTGCCAGGAAGGGACGCTGGACACTGCCCAGGGCCAGAGCAGGCTGCTCGTGTGGCTGAGGTGTAGAGGTCGATGAGATCACTAAGGTCCCTGCTTCCTCTGTGCCACGAGGCAGGCGGCCTGCTGGGGGTTCCCTGCACAGGACACCACCCGGAGGAGCTGGAGGAGATGCTGGCTGTTAGGCCAGGGCAGCAGGGACATCGGATCCTTAAGTGGGAGAATGGCCAGGGTGGGAGCTGGAGTAAGTGCAGTCACTGCCTGCAGAGACCCCCAGGCTCTCGTTTGGGGGACCTGCAGTGGGGTGGGGGGGACCTGCTGCTGGGATCGTGATGTCATGGGGACCAGCAGCGTTGGCTGCTGGTTAAAGGAGATCAGGGAAGGAAACTTCACAGACAGGAGTGCTTTTCAGGATCTTCTAGGACTACAAAGGAGGGATGGCTCCCTGAGAATATTTGCAGTCTTGGAAAGTCAAGTGGAGCCGTGTAATCCTGGCTTTTTAGGGTCCTGAATTACTAGGAAACTGGCTTGGGTAGGGAAGCAAGAAGAGGGTTGGGACCTGCACACAGCTGCGTGCAAATCCCTTCTCTGCACTGAAGGCATGGACGGTGCACTTCTTGAGTCGGCCAGCAGGTGGCGCAGGGACCGCACACCCACAGCTGACTCCCCTTCCTAGGTGGAAAATAACTCCGGCCCTAGTACCGGGAGGTTTTCCCGAGGTTCGGAAGTTGCTTCGGGCATGCAGGCCACAGGGCGCTCTCTCTAAAGGTCACCCTAGCAGGTGAGAACCAGGGCATGAGGGCGCACTCCAGGATCAGACGGTTCAACCTTAGCAATGCTACCCATGAGCTAGGCACCTGTTGGGCCCCAGCGGGTGTGCAGGGGTTCTCAGGGGCCCCAGAGAGTAGTAGTTTGCATGAGAAGACAAAGGGAGGTCTATTGAGTTCAAAGCTGCCAATGAGAGGGAGAGCCGGCAGCTGAGGGCGCACAGGGCCCAGCGTTGCAATGAAAAAGCAGAGGCTGGTGAGGAGGTGGTGGTGGACTGAGGCTGTGGGAGACTGAGGGGCTCTTGTGGGAAGTGGCTCAGGTCCTGCGGCCCAGGGCTCAGGTGCCCGCGCAAGATGACAAGAGGACAAGAAGGGGATGGACTGAGTGAGGGGCGCAGAGAAAGCTGGGGAAGTGGCAAGAGCAGGCACCGCCGCTGTCCCCACACCCACATGGCTGCTGTGCAAGGCCATCAGAACCTGCCGCTGGCAGTTGCGGGCCTGGGGTGGGGAGGGTGGAATTCCTATGTCACCCAGGGGTTGGCAGCAGCTGGAGCGAGCCAGGCGCTGGTTGCACATGATGCTGGCTGCAAGCCCAGTGCCTGCTCAGCCCCCCCACCCCCAGGTGCTGCCCCTCACTGTTCACAAGTGCTGGCTACTTCCCCGAAGCACACACACCTCTAAGATCAGACAAGGGAAAGGTAGGGACTCCAGGGCGCTTGGCCCTTTACTATGGGAAGCTGGCTGTGCAGGCAGTCCAGGAAGAGGGGTGCAGGAGTGGTTCCGGGTGATCACACCCACACCCGGGCAGCTGCTCTCTGCAGTGGCCCTGGGTCCTAGTGACCACCCTCCTACACACACACACACACCTGCCGAACACCCAGCACTTGTGGCTTGGAGGCAGATGGGGATATGTTTGTCTCAAACAGTGACCCCTGGGGGAGGCTCTTTCTCTCACGGTCCCTGAGAGCAATTTAGGGTCCTTACTGGGGGATTTCCTAGCACAAGCCTGGGACTGGGGGTCACCCTGGGGTGACTCGCATCATTGCCAGTGCTGTTTCTGCTCCAGGAAATTCACCTCCTTGGCTCCTGGAAGAAAAGCCCATGTTCCCCCAACAAGGCCACCCTGGAGACGCAAAGCCCCCAGAACCACACGCCCAGGGGAAGGCAGAGGTGTTGGGTGCCCCCACCGGCACCCAAGGCTCCCTTGTAGCCACTGCCCTTGGCAGCAACAGAAGTTCAGCCCAGCCTCTCTTCCCCAAACAGGGCCACTGGCACGCACCCCTGTCCTTTGCCTCCTATCCCACCCCCACCACGGCTGGCGTCTGGCAAAGCCATCAGGCACTTCAGAGCTAAGACCAAGACTGGACGGAGGAAAGAAACCACATTTCCTAGCCCCTGCCTTGGATTTGCTTTGTCATTGACACAGAGGAATGTGCAGAACTTTCTAGAGCCCTGCAGAGACCTAAGGGCAGGAAGATTGAGGGATTAGGTGGTTTGTTGAAAATGCAGGAAGCTTGCAGCCACACAAGGAGCAGAAGTCAGACGTGCTGAACCTCTCTCAGCAGACGCCTACAATTTCCTGCTCGCCCTCACCTGCTAAGGCACTCACCTGCATGCAAGTCTCGGCTTTTGTGTAGGCAGGTCGGACGGGAGGCCATGACAGCTCTGGCACTGTGTGCACACAGGTGCGCGCGCACACACGCACACAGGGGAAGGGAGGACCAGGGGTGGGGCCTGCAGGGGGCCGCCAGCAGGGAGCCAGCATGCGTTAGTACAGGGGTTTCACCAGAAGCGACACCATATGGATCTATGCTACAGAGCCCAACACCAGACCACACACACAGGACCACAGGAGACCCAGCACACAGCTGTCCGACTCCGGGAGAGGAGCGGTGACGGGGCAGGGGAGCCAGCCGCTGGCTTTGTTGGGGGGGGGGCGGGCAGCGCCTTCTGCAGTGGAGTTGGGCTCCTTCTTCTCTTTCTTGGATCCAAGGTTGATTGGGTACTGATTGCATTGCTCTCAGTTTCATGGAAGGAGCAGCAGCAGGAATCTCTCCAGGAGGCCTTGGGCTGGGTGCTCCTGAGCTTTGCCATGTGGTTTCTTTCTGGTCCCCCACACAGGACAGCTTTCCCATCGGTGGAGTGGCTGGCTTTCTGGGAGGGGCCTCCAATGGCGGGCTCCCCCCTTACCCCAGAGAGAGACTCAGGTCCAATTAGGTTTTATTCCACACCTCCCCCCAGGCCCCTCTGCCCTGCCCTGGTGACATCCAGGTGCTGGGCAGGGGCAGCTGTGGCACACGCGGCTGGTGAGACGGACACGACACACAGGACGGATGGAGTGGCTCAGGTGGTCCCACAGGAGCCCGCACACCCAGGCCACCGCGGCATGCAGACGCGCAAGGATGCACTGGCAGAAGCACAGGTGGGGAAGGGAGGCAGGCAGGGGGCAGCCCCAGCCGTGTCCGCGGTCCTTGTAAGCCCCCGGGTCCTCCGTGCGGGGGCTGCTGCTGGGAAAAAGGGGGGCGAGACGCAGTCCACCATAGCCAGGGACTCAGCCACAGGCGGCCCTGGGAGCTTCGGAACATGCTTTGGGGAGAGAGCTTTTAGCAGCAGCCCAGCAGCGCCCTCTTCTGGGCCTGGTGGGCTGCTGCACCTTGGTTAGGCAGCTGTGTGAGGGCACCCGTGGGGTGGAGGGGCAGGCAAGCTAGCACCTGGGCCCAGGGGGCTTCCGCACAGGGTGGGCTTGCCCTGTGTGCGTTGTTGTGGGGTGGCTGAGGCTCAGGTGAGCTCCCCAGGGCTTCACAGGGGTGGGAGGCATGCAGGGGAGAGCCGTGCCAGCCACATGCTGAATTCCTGCCTGAACCTGGGTGCAGCCCCCAGGGCTACGGGCCTCAGCCTTGACAGGGGTCCTATGGGACCTGTGCCAGCCAGGCATGGGCCCCAGGCCCTGCCAGCTGACCCCAGACCTTCCTTTTCTATAAGGTGGGAGGCTGGGCAGCTGGAAGCCCTTGGAGCTCTGGCCGCTCCCTCACCCCTAAGGTCTGTTCTTGCCTTGGAACCTGCTCCACAGGCAGGTCTGGCCCTGGGAAGTGGGCAGTGCTCTGTGCAGGAGGAGGAGTCCCCACTCCATCGTGGGGCCGGTGGGTGGGCAGGACAGGCCGGAGCGTGGGCGTGCATGTGCGCGTGCAGGGCGTGCTGTGTTGAGGATGGGGTTAGAAGGCAAACAGGGATAAAGTGCGCCCCCTGGTGTGTAGAAGGTGATGTGTTTATACAAGAAAATTTATTCGACTAGATAAAACCAAACTAACCCGGGTCGTCAGTGGCCTGGAGGGACAGTGGCTTCGGGGTGGCAGGGAGGAGGGGCAGCATTCTAGAAAACCTAAGTAGAGAGGTGAACTGCTCCGAGCAAGGCCCCGGGTGGCGCCAGCTCCGGCCAGCCTCCTCCCTCCAGCCCTGGCTGGGCCTAGTAGGGGTGCGCGGGCTCTGGCAGCAGCGACTCCCAGGAACTAGACATTAGGGACAGGAAACTGACCGGGGACGTTCTCTCGGTGGCTGCACGGTGGGGCACGCGGGGCGCCTCCCCCGCCGTCTCACCTTCCTCCTCTTGAGGCCTAAGGAAGACACAGGCTCTCTTTAACCAGCAGCGTCTCTCCAAGGTTCCCGCTGGCACCCACCCGGGAGCATGCGCCCAGGGTCTCCCCGTCCAGACAGCTGGGGGAGCCTGGACAGAGCAGATCCAGGAGCCGCCCGCAGGCTAACGGGCAGAGGGAAGACAGGTGCCTCAGCGAGGGACAGGTTTCTGTGCAAAGCGGGGCACAGGCGCTGGTACCTGGTGGGAGGGGCCTCCACCCCTCCTTCCCCGAGCCAGGTCTTCCGCTCAGTACGACTCAGGGGAACAGAAGCCCCTCCGATTCCAAGCTCAGGCCCCTCTGGATTTCTCTGACAGGTGGCCCAAGTGTGAAATCTGGGCCCCTTCTCCTCCCCACCCATCCCCCTGGCCTGGCCCGCGGGGCACATGGCCAGCACTCACCCGGGCTCCTCTACGGGTTTGTCCTGGCGTTCTTTAAGCTCAAGCTGGGGGAAGAGGAGACTGGGGGTCAGAGCTGCCACATAGGGGAGCCGTGTTTTCCGAGGGCCCCCCTGGGGCATTGTCTGGAAGGCTGGTGCACCCTGGGGTCCGCTCTCCCGGGGCCATCCTTTTAGTCCTCTACGTTCACGGTCAGCATTTTCTACCCCTTATTTCCTTCCCATTCTCCCCACCTGCCCAGCCACCCAAACACCTGGCCCCTGGTCTGGTGGTCCTGAAGCCCCCCACCCACCCCATCTCCCCAGTGTGGCTGCCCAGCCTCCCAGCACCGGTCCCAGCTCACCAAGGTGGGTTTCTCCAGGGCGGCAAAGCGCTCGGCCCAGCTGCGTGTGGATTTCTCAAAGGCCTCATGCCTCCTGATGAGCTTCTCCACGCTGTCCACCGTGTGGCCGAAGTCCCGGCTGGCCAGGTAGGGCTCCTGGGCGATGAGCCACGCCTCGGCCACAGAGGCATCCCTCGAGAACTGGCACACGTCCAGCCCTGCCACGAGAAAAGCGTCAAAGCCTGGCTCGGCCCGCAGACAGGAGCTCCCCCTCCCCCTAACAGGTGTCCCCCAGTGGTCCCCAATCCCCATGCCAGGGATCAAGCAGTAGTAGTTAGGGTTAAAAACTACATTTACTAGAACAACAACAAAACATGCTGGGATGCACCTCCACGAGGACCGGTCTCTTTCTGGCCCTTGGCTGTCTTGCAGCCCTAGGGGACCAGTCCCAGGCATCTGGGCGCACAGCTCCTTTCTGCTTCAGCCTGACCCTGTACCCTGGCCACAGCCCTGCAGGGACACCAGCTGGGTGTGATGGGGGAGGCGAGGGCAGGGAGCGGCATGCTGGCTGGCAGAGGCCGTGTCCAGCCACGTGTCTGCCAGGATCTGCTGCCTGGACACCTTCAGCCCCAGAGATCTGCCGACGGGTGGTGCTGCTGGGGTCTCTCTCCAGGCTATGGTGAGGACCAAAGCCGCTGTGGGATCGTCCCCCTCTCTGCTGGTGCCTCCCGGATCCCAGGCTGTACTCACACATGTGCAGCCGCTCCCAGCGGGTCTCCCACTTCTCATTCATCTCCTTCTTCCTGGACATCACTTGCTGCAGTTTCTTGCTGATCTGTAGAGACGGAGAAAAGCCCAGGGCTGGAGAACCCCTCTCCCAGTCCAAGGCAGTGCACAGAGGATGCCTGTGCTGCTCACGGGGTCCTGGCTGCTGGTCCTGGTCCTGCTCATTTTTTTTTTTAAAGATTTATTTATTTATTTGAAAGTCAGAGTTACATGGAGAGAGGGTCAGGGAGAGGCAGAGAGATAGAGGTCTTTCATCCATTGGTTCTCTTCCCAGTTGGCTGCAATGGCTGGAACTGTGCTGATCTGAAGCCAGGAGCCAGGAGCTTTTTACGGGTCTCCCACACAAGTGCAGAGGCCCAAGGACTGGGGCCATCTTCTACTTTCCCAGGCCATAGCATTCCCAGGCCATAGCAGAGAGCTGGATTGCAAGAGGAGCAGCCAGGATTAGAACCAGTGCCCATATGGGATGCTGGCACTGCAGGTGGTGGCTTTACCTGCTATGCCACAGCGCTGGCCCCAATTTTTTTAAGATTTATTTATTCGAAGGGCAGAGTGAGAGAGAGAGAGAGAGAGAGAGAGAGAGAATGCGCTTCCATTTGCTGGTTCACTCCTCAGATGACCACGACAGCCAGGGCTGGGCCAGATTGCAGGGGCCAGGAGCTCCATCCAGGAGCAGTGGCCCAATCACTTGGGCCATCTTTCTCTTGCTTTCCCAGAGCAGGTGGATTGGAAGTGGAGCAGCCAAGACTAGAAGTGAGGCTCCCATACGAGATGCTGGAGTCACAGGGGGCTCAACACACTGTGCCCCGACTCCGGCCCCCTCGCCTTGCAGCTGTCGGCTGTGCAGCCTGGGACGAGTTCCTGGAATTGAGGCCCCCTGCACCTCCTCTTTGCACAGGGTCACCAACTTCTCAGCAGGCCCACGTGGGGGCTGCTGGGGAGGTTCTGAGCCTGCTGTCTGCACTCAGTAGCCGGCTCCTTCAGGCGGGGAGTGGGCTCGCTCTGGCTTCGTGAATGAAAGACAAGCTCCTCAGAGAAACCACAGCCCCAGCCCCCTCCCGGAATCTGCCTGGGCGGCCAGGGGGGCCCAAGGAGGCACAGGGGCCTTGCCTCGGCCCCACTGCCCCTCTCACCTCCTCCGAGGCCTGGTGCTGCCGCTGCAGCAGGGACTCGCCGAGCTCCTGGCACGCGCTGAAGTTTTTGCTCCGGGTCTCGATCTCAGCTTTGATGCCCTGGTGGTATTTCATGAGCAGTTCCACGGAGGAGACGTCCCTGGGGGCGGGAGGGCAGGCGTGGGAGGGCCCCTCTGGCGCCAAGGCTGCCTCCCACCTGCCTCCAGGAGCCCAGCCCTGGGTCCCTCCTCTCTCTGGCCAGAGAGGGGCATCCTCGGATGCCCCCTCCCCCCACCATGTCTGCTGCTGGTCAGAGGCAGAGGCTGCAGAGACTTTAGGGAGTTCATAGAAAATGCGACTAAAAGATGTTTATTTTGGCCTGAAAAAATTCTGAAGTCTATGTCTCAAAAACCTCCAGAAAATTCATGGGAAATGTGTTCTGTGAAAACACTGTGCATAGATTTCAGATAGTTTTTGTAATGAAATAAACTTTTTATTTTAAACTTTTTTTTTTAAAACTGTATTTGAGGGGCTGGGGCTGTGGTGTAGTGGGTAAAGCTGCTGCCTGCAGCGCCGGCATCCCATATGGGTGCGGATTCAAATCCAGGCTGCTCCACTTCTGATCCAGCTCTCTGCTATGGCCTGGGAAAGCAGTGGGGAATGGCCAAGTCCTTGGGCCCCTGCACCTGCATGGGAGATCATGAAGAAGCTCCTGGCTCCTGGCTTCGGATCAGCTCAGCTCCAGCCATTGTGGCCATCTGGGGAATGAACCAGCAGATGGAAGACACTTTCTTTCTTTCTCTCTCTCTCTCTCTCTCTCTCTCTCTCTCTCTTTCTCTGCCTTTCAAATAAGTAAATCAATCTTTTAAGAAAACCTGTATTTGAGAGAGCAAGCGAATGTTCCTATTTTCTGGTTATCTTTGAAACATTTTAAAGCCTTTTTTCCATTTTATTTATAAGGCAGAGAGCAAGAGAGAAGAGGGAAACAACTTCTATCCACTGCTTTATTCCCCAAATGCCTTGTGACAGCCAGGCTAATGCCAGGAGCCTGGAACTCTACCTCATTCTCCTGTGTGGGAGGCCGGGACCTTCGTACCTGACCCATCATCTGCTGCCTCCCAGGCACACTGGCAGGGAGCTGGATCAGAAGCAGAGGCTGGACTCAATCCCAGGCACTCAGACATGGGGTGCGGGCATACTCAGGGATGGCTTGGCCTGCTGTGCCCCAAAGTCCATCTCTGCCTGGTTATCTTTTAATTCAACTTTTCCATGAACTTTTGCAAGGACCCTCAAAAATTGTGATTATATCAAATACAGCAGAATGGCACACTTTAAGTGGGTGAAGTATGTATGTGCATTGTGTCTCAACACTGATGTTAAGGATACAGACATGGGCCCTGGGACCGGCAGCCTCAGGGCGGAGGCTCGGAGATGGGCCAGCAGTCACTGCTGACCAAACAGGGGGTTGAGGGTCCTGAGCCTGCTGGGCTGGCACAGCCCCCGTGCCTGAGTCCACCTCTCATTACCAATCGGCTCCATCCTGAGCCCTGGGTTTGGTGGCCCCCACGTCCCAGGGCTAGGGGAAGAGCAAGCATCCTTGGATCTGCTCAGCTTTGGATTTGTGAGCATTGCTCCTTTTTTGCTGATGACTGTGGTCACGGCCCCCATGGGAGAGCCCGAGTGACAGACACCTTTCTCTCCTCACTCTGAGGTGGTCAGTCCTCTCAGTGGAAGCTGAGCCACTCCGACTCTGCCAAGACCCAACCTAGATGCAACTCAGGCCACGGGGTGCACCCAAGGACTCCAGTGCACTGCACACACCCTCCAGGGAAGTGCCCAGGATTCCAATGCACTGCACACGCCCTCCAGGGAAGCGCCCAGGACTCCAGTGCACTGCACACGCCCTCCAGGGAAGCACCCAGGACTCCAGTGCACTGCACACGCCCTCCAGGGAAGCGCCCAGGACTCCAGTGCACTGCACAACCCTCCAGGGAAGCGCCCAGGACTCCAGTGCACTGCACACGCCCTCCAGGGAAGCGCCCAGGACTCCAGTGCACTGCACACACCCTCCAGGGAAGCGCCCAGGACTCCAGTGCACTGCACAGGCCCTCCAGGGAAGCACCCAGGACTCCAGTGCACTGCACAGGCCCTCCAGGGAAGCGCCCAGGACTCCAGTGCACTGCACACGCCCTCCAGGGAAGCGCCCAGGACTCCAGTGCATTGCACAGGCCCTCCAGGGAAGCGCCCAGGACTCCAGTGCATTGCACAGGCCCTCCAGGGAAGTGCCCAGGATTCCAGTGCACTGTACAACCCTCCAGGGAAGCGCCCAGTGTGGCGCCTGGGCTCACCTGGGCCTCTCCTGAGTCTCCATCTGCCGAATGATGCTCTCCATCCAGGAGAGGAGGTCCCGGACCATGCTGAAGAAGCGGAATTTGTCTGCCGTGTCCACCAGCTGGGTCCGGCGCCCGGTGCAGGCATCGAGCAGTGCCTGCCACGCCGCCGACACCTCCTGCTCTTTGTTCTGGATGGCATCAGCCTTCTCCCCGGCGTACGCGGTCTGCAGGCGGGTGGCCACATCCTGGAACTGCTGCACCTGCGGGCGGGGAAAACCAGGTGTCCTTCCCTGCTCCAAGGTGTCACAGACTCACGGCAGACGCCATCGAGGCTCTGCTGGGAGGTGGATCTCCAGCCTCCCACCCAGTGGGTGCTGGAGGGGAAAGACGCCTTGCTTTTTGTTTGGATTATCACCAAGAACCACGATGAAGAGAGGGAGTGTTCGGCACTGCTGTGCACCCTTTATGTTTATTAATCTTCTCTTTTAGAACCACTCCATGCAAGAAGTACTTCAAGGTCTCCTCAAGAATTTTGTGGAGGGACCAACGCGGTGATGCAGTAAGGTTAAGCCTCTGCCTGCGGCGCCAGCATCCCATAACAGTGCCAGTTGGAACCCCGGCTGCTCCACTTCTGATCCAGCTCCTGGCTAGTGGCCTGGGAAGGCAGTAGAGGATGGCCCAAGTGCTTGGACCCCTGTGCCCATGTGGGAGACTCAGAAGAGGCTCCTGGCTTTGGATCAGTCCAGCTCTTGTCATTGCAGCCACTTGGGGAGTGAACCAGCGGATGGAAGACCTTTCTCTCTGTCTCTCCCTCTCTGTAACTCAGCCTCTCAAATAAATAATCTTAATTTTTTTGTGTGTGGAAAAAAAGAAAAGCTTACTTTGGTGAAAAAAATTGAAATGCATGCATAGTGTTTTCATAAATACACATTTCCCATAAACTTCCTATAGATCCTTTGTATGCATGGATTTCAATTTTTGCACTAAAATCCTTTTTTCTTTGAGAGACAGAGAGTACTCCTATTCACTAATTCTCTACCTAAAAGCCCACAACGGCTGGAATTGGACCAGGCTGAAGCTGGGAACTGGAAGCTCCATCCATGGAACCCAACAACCTGAGCCATCTCTGCTGCCTCCGCGGGGCTGAGCTGGAGTCAGTAGTGGAGGTGGGTGTCGAACCCAGGCACTCTCATATGCACTGGGCCAAATGCCCACTCTAATTTATTTATTTATTTATTTTAACAGGCAGAGTGGACAGTGAGAGAGACAGAGAGAAAGGTCTTCCTTTGCCGTTGGTTCACCCTCCAATGGCCGCCGCGGTTGGCGTGCTGTGGCCGGCGCACTGCACTGATCCGATGGCAGGAGCCAGGTGCTTATCCTGGTCTCCCATGGGGTGCAGGGTCCAAGCACCTGGGCCATCCTCCACTGCACTCCTGGGCCGCAGCAGAGAGCTGGCCTGGAAGAGGGGCAACTGGGACAGAATCCAGCACCCCGACCGGGACTAGAACCTGGCGTGCCAGCACCACTAGGCGGAAGATTAGCCTAGTGAGCCGTGGCGCTGGCCTAATTTATCTTTTTTTTTACTGCCTATCCAGGGAGGGGCAGTTTCAGACCTTCTTTGAGGTCCCAGGGCAATGAATGAAACCTCACTCCTGAGCCCTCAGGGGGGCCACACCTGTCTCAGGGCTCTGTCTCAGTGGGGCCACACCTGTCTCAAGTTGACAGCCACACACCATGTCCCACCTCCAGCTGGAGGTCCCTCTTCCTTGGTGTGGAAACTCTTGGTCCCACTGGGCCAGCCCAGAACTGCACAGCTGGCCCATTTCTGCTCCCTCCACTGGGAACCTGGGATCTTCCTGGCAGCAGGCACCTTGGCCCTGGCCCTGAGCTCTGGGTGACTCTAGGGACCTGCAGCGGTGCTCCGGGGCCACCCCACTGAGGGGAGAGCGGCCTACATGCATATCTTGGGGTCTTTTCATGTGAAAAGGCTGCGCTGCTTGGGGGCCAAGCAAGTGGGGACCGCAGCCCCAGCACGAGGGGCCAGGTCCTGGCTCCCCCACACCTCTGCATGTTCCTAGGCAACTCATTGTCCCTCTGTGCCTCTCTGCATCTACAAAACACAGACAGCATCAGCGGTGACCCCAGGGGGAGGCTGTAAGGACCCAGGGACTGTCTACCTTGCTGAGAATGGTACTTGGTGTTAGCCAGGTGCTATATCTAAGGGTACTTCTGAAAATTCATGATGGCATTAAAAGATAAGTGCAAAAAATTTTTTGCAAGCAAGCCACACATACAGGAGTCTTCAGAAAGGTGATGAAAAATGCCTGTTAGGCAAAAATGATGCATGGATTTCAACACTCTGCTGCACCAAAATAAAGCTGCCTTTTAATTCCCCTTTTCAGGAATTTCTTGAGGTACCCTCGTACGTGTTACCTAATAATCCCACATGGCTATAGAAGCAGCATTGTCAGGTCATCTTATGCACGGGATTTTTGTGAGGGTTCAGAGAACTACTTCCGAAGCTAAAGAATGCCTGGAAGTCAGACTCCCTGACCTGAGCTGTTGGCTCTTGAAAGAGGTGAAATCAGGGGCCGGCGCTGTGGCACACTGGGTTAACGCCCTGGCCTGAAGCACCAGCATCTCATGTGGGCAGCCGGTTCAAGACCAGGCTGCTCCACTTCCGATCCAGCTCTCTGCTGTGGCCTGGGAAAGCAGTGGAAGATGGCCCGAGTCCTTGGGCCCCTGCACCCACGTGGGAAGAAGCTCCAGGCTCCTGGCTTTGGATAGGCAGAGCTCCAGCCATTGCAGCCATTTGGGGGAGTGAACCAGCGGATGGAAGATATCTCTCTCTCTCTCTCTCTCTCTCTGTAACTCTTTCAAATTAATAAGTAAATCTTTAAATAAAAATAAAAAAGAAAGAGGTGAAATCTCCCGGTACGCAGATTTCTGCAGATTTCCCTTCTAGGAACCAGAAGAGCCCTGACAACCCGCTGGGGGCCTCCAGGAAGGTGGCTGTGGAGAAGGCAGGCACTGGGGGCAGGGGCACAGGTACCTGCACGCCCAGCAGGTGCAGCTCCCGCTCGAAGGCCGTGTGCACCCGGTGGAAGGACTCGGCCGAGCTGGCGTCCAGCCCCACGTCCGCAGGCAGCTCGCGGTGCTTCTCATTGATGAGGCCCAGGATCTCGGTGCCCGTGTAGAAGTAGCGGTGCAGATCGTGGGAGGCAGCCAGCAGCTGCATGCGTGTGTCGATCAGCTCCAGCAGGTCCGCCCACATCTCGTTGAGCCCGTCCTTCCACTCGGCGATGGTGGCTGCCTCGCTGTGGCCCGCGTCAATGAGCCGCTCGATGATGGCATTCACGTTGTCCACCCGCTCCTGCCCGATCATCCCCGTCTCCCGGGCGAAGTCCCGGAACTTGTCCCGGAGCAGCTGCAGGTGGGGTGGGCACACAGGCACTGAGTCGGGTGCTCAGGGACAGGGGGATGTCATCGTGCCCCCTCCCACTGCAGCCACTGCCACCACCCAGAGTGCAAGGGTGGACTCTGGGTGACTCTAGGGACCTGCAGAGATGCACGTGTTGTGTGGCACGCTGGTGGCCGGGGCTACCCCGTCGGCGGGAGGCACAGGCAGTGGGAGCCGCAGCTACTCACAGTGACGTGGTCAAAGTCTTGCCCCATTTCGGGAGACGACGCCACCTGCTCCTTCTCCGCTATCCACTGCTCCAGGTCATCGGCCTCCCTCTTCAGCTGGAACAGGTGGTACATGTTCTCCAGCTTGCGCTTGCGTTCCTCCGCCATGTCCTTTAGCCCCGCGTAATGCTTGTCCACCTGGCCCTGCAGCCTGATGATCTGCTCCCTGCAATTCAAGCCCACAGGGCCTCAGAGCCCACCCATCAAGGACCCAGTTTCTCCCCCAGCCCGGTGCCAAGGATGGGGGAGAAAGGACAGTGGCCAGGGAAGAGGCGGGGGGGGGGGGGAGGAACCCTCAGGTCAGGGTGTCTCAGGGGACCACAGCACTGGTCTTGGAGGTCCATCTGGGAGTAGCACCTCCCAGTGCCTGTTGCCCTGGGCAGCTCCAGGTTTGACAAGTGCAAAGGGGGACCTTCTCCGCTCACCTCCAGAGGTGGCTGGTGGAGCCGCACTGCCCAGGGGACCCTGCTTAGCTCTTAGGGAAGAGTGGGCACCAGGGGTTCAGTGCTTGGAACCCCCTGGGAGATTTTTGGGGGCTGCTGCAGATCTCATGGCAGTGGATGCATTAAAGGCAGGACTGTGACTGAGGGTGGCCTGGGGAGTCTGGCTCAGTGGGCTCCCATGTGTGCAGCACACGCACAACTCAGCAGTTCTAATGGGTGTAGGCTTCCCCCTCTCACTTCCATATAATGACTTTGCTGAGTCACTGTGAGGTCCTGAAGAACCTTCCAGATCACACGGGAAAGTACAATTGGTCCTCAGCATCTCACAGCATCATCTGACTCTGCAAAATTCTAAGGCTCTCGGTTGCCCCAAGACGGTGGTGTTGCCATTCTGTTCTCTGAGCTTTTGGCAGAAGGGCCCCCAGTGGGCCCCTGTGAAGTTACACCAACGCATACAGTGGAACTGGGTTTTCCCAAACCTCTTATTTTGGGATACGGGCTGGTGGAGGCCCCTGGCCAGAGGCCCACATCCTGCCAAGTTGCCCCAGGAGACACACGCACCCCTCAGGGTGGCCTGCAGACAGCAGGCTCTGGGCCCGGCCAGCCAGCTGCTTGATGTTCCGCCCATATTCCTCCACGGCGCGCTGCTGCCTCAAGTGTCGCTTAAGCATTACAATGGCGCCTTCTTCATCCTAGGGGGCAGTAGGCGGGCGTCAGGGCCAGCGTCCAGCCTGGCCGTGCTCCCTCCCTTGGCAACTGACAGCCCAGCTCCTGGGGGAGACCCACACCTGTTCCCTTCCCTCTACTCTGCTTCCCCAGTAATGTCTGCACCCCACTTTCTTCTCTGGGCTTCCCCCAGTCTTAGCTGATTCATGCCCTTCCATCTAGGCCCATGTCCATTCCTCTGGTCCCTATGTCACTCCAGCTTCGAGAGAGCCTTGTCCCCTCCCACAGCCGTTCCCTGGCACAGAATCTGTGCCCAAGGCAGTGAAGGAGCCCCGGGTCAGAGCGCCCCGCATCTGGCAGGTGCAGCCCATGGCACAGTGCATGCACTGAGTGGGTGCTCTCAGGGAGGGGCCATCCTGAGAGGGAGGCACCCAGGAGAAGGGTGACTCAGGGGGCTCCTGGAGCATCCACCTCCCTGCACTCACACCATACTTCCAAGGCTCCCCCTGACTGCCCGCCCAGCTCCGTCTCTCTCAGTACCCTGGACAGCAGCCCCTGTTGCGCACACCTCGGGGGTCTCATCGGAGATGACGTAGAGCTCCTGCTCGCTGATCCAGGCCTCGGCCTCGCCCGCGTCCAGGTAGTACTGCTGCGCCTCGTGGGCGTCGCGCAGGCGCTGCAGCCGCCCTGCCGCCGCCTGCTGGAGCGTGTCCCAGGAGCCCTGCAGGTGGCCCAGGCGCTCCTCGATGTCCCCACACTCGATCTCCGCGACCTCCACCAGCTGGCGCCCGCGCTGCAGCACGTCCTCGATGCGTGGCGTGTGGCCCAGGATCTCATTCTGCAGCGTCTGTGGCCGGGAGGGAGGGCTCAGGGGCAGGGCCTTCCCACCAACACTGGGGAGGCCATGTCTGCTGCGGCAGGGTCAGGTCTGACACCCTCAGCAACCCCCAACCCCCCTGCTGGAGCAAAGAGGATGACGGTGACAGAACTGCTGACGCTCAGTGTCCCCTAAAGGCCCATGTGTCAGGGCTGGGGCCCTGATGTCTCATGTTAATGGCGCTAGTGGGGACGGGGCTTTGGGGAAATGATGGCATTGGGTTGGGTTGCTCCGGTGGAGGCCCCATGATTGAGTCCTGGTGACTGCATGAGAGGCAGCAGGCTCTCCCCCTGGCCACACGGTAACCTGTGCCATGGTGGTGCTCTGCAGCAAGAATACCACTGCGGGGGTGGACCAATGTCTCCATCCCCTCCCCACCCCGATCTTGGGCCATGAACTTCCAGGACCACGAGCTAGACTAAGGCTCTTTCCTTCATGAGTGGTCTGTGTCAGGTATCTCATTACAGAAATGCAAAGCCGACTGGTGCAGGACCTGCCCGAGCCAAGCCGAGGAGGCTGGCATCCGGCAGTGAGGTGAGGCCCTGGGGGTGAGAGGCAGGGCTGCTGCCCGACCCCGGAGGCGGGGCTCTGGACTGTTCCCACTCTATCAGACACACTTCTCAGGTGCCTGTGTTGAGCAAGGGAAGGCAATTCTGAAATTCCGGTGTCTTCTTTCAGCAGCTTTGGCTCCACATAAAAGGCTGGCGGACAGCTGCCCCTTGTTTCAAGTGCTGGGTCTTGTTTGTCCTCATTTTTATTTCTCACGTCTTTTGTGAACTGTGTATTGCTTCCTGGTTGAGCCTTGGGTCACCAAAATGGCCTCCCCCTCCCACCCTGGTGAGGGGCTCATCATCTATATGTGTTAATCGCTCCCTGCGACCCAGAGGGCAAGGCTAGTGGCTTCTCACACACGGGCTCTTGGGCTCTGCAAACCTTGTTTCCTCCTGTCCTACAACTTCCCCATGGTCTTTAGAACTTTCCAGAAATCAGTCCACATAGGCAGTGCCGAGATGGTCGGCCTTTAAAACATACGCGAAATAGTGACACCCACAAGTCACAAACACTGTGGTGCTTTGTACCCAGAATCTCAGTTTTGGCATTTTCCATGGTCTCTGCAAGCCATGTGGTCAGCTCTGCTGGCCTCTTAGCTTTCTCTGAAAGCGTAGGTACCCTAGAAAGGCACTTCTCTCTCTTTTTAAACAACTGTGTTCTATGTCTCCTGTGCAGGGTGCTTATCCATGGTGCCTTCCTCTGTGTCTCCATTCATTCAAAAGAGATTTACTAACATCTCGTCTGTGTGCCAGACCCTGTTCTAGGTACCAGGGACAGTACGGAAACAAGATCAACAAAACACCTGTCTTCCTAAAGTCTGCAGTCTGGTAGAGGAACCAGATGGCAACCATGTAAATAAATGAGTAACCGGAGGCGGCGCCTCCCTTGTGGGAAGGAGAATGGCCCCTGAGCTGCAGGAAGCCCTCTCCGAGATGACATTCAGGAGACGCGGACAGTGAGCGGGAAGTGACCACACAGAGATCTGGGGAGGAGAGTTCTTGGCAAGTGGGTGGAGCAAGTGCAAAGGCCCTGGGGTGGACGTGAGCCTGGCATTCTGAAGACCAGAGAGAAGGCCAGAAGAGCTGGGGTTCTGTGACAGAAGACCAAAGTGATGCAGCATGCGGTGTGGAGGCGGCAGCGGCTCTTAACCCTGCTCGCACGTCAAATCCGGGAAGACAGATCCGCTTAGGGGTCTACTTGCAGAGATCCTCATAAATTCACTTGAGGTGGGACCTTGGCATTACATACAGTCTCTGCAAGGGTGGCCACGTTCTCCTGAGAGGTTGTCCTTTGCTTCCTGGCTAAGGGAACTCCCATCCCTTTTCCCAAAATAGCAACCACCAGCCACGGTGGTTGAAAGCCTTTGGCCGGCCAGACAGAATCCAGGTCTCTAGTGCTGAACCTCTCGCTGGCTCATCTTACAGCTGAGGTCCTCCAGACACGGCCTCTGACCAGCCCCTTCCTGGAAGAGAAAGCTGTGGTGCCCGCTGAGCCCAGCTCTCTCTCACCGTCCAGCGGTGGCCCCAGTGTGTGGCTGCTGGGACCTCTGGGAATTCTGTCCACTGGAAGCACTGGGCTCCAGGACACTTTGGAGAAAATCTCTCTGATTGGAACAGGGTGCCTCAAACAGTTTGTGGAAAATGGAATTCAAAGGGAAGTTTATCAGGGGCCAAAAAAGAGTTGAAATCCATGTATGCCAGGGGCCTTCAAAACAGGTCATGGCAAGCGCGTATTATGAAAAAAACAGGCATACCAGGCATGGATTCCAACAATTTTTTTTTTTTTTGCACCAAAATAAACTTACCCCTTAATTCCAACTTCCACAGTGTTCTGATCACCTCTGGGCACAGAGTTGCTGGGCCTCAAAGGTTTGGGCCTGTGAGCCAATGTCAGTGGCAGTTCTTTTGTGGGGGAAAGAAATTGGTCTGCCTTCTGTAATGTCCATGTGGTCCCCGGGGACATGGTGCTTGTCCCCCGCGATCTAAGTTTCTGGGCTCTCCTAGCTGGCCTAGGGAACTGACAAGGCAGGAGGAGGAAAGGGTCTGGGGCCCTGGGGCCAGTGGCATGAAGCCGCTGTGTCCACACCCAGCTGGCTTCTGGGGAGGAATTCAGGTTCCCTCTGCAGGGCTGACACCGAGGTGAGCATCTGTCTACGCCCAGGACGCTAACCAGGGCCACGGACGAAGAGAGAGCCAAACAGCGGCTGCACGTCTGCTCCCAGGGCTGAGAGGCTGGGCCGAGGGGCATCCTCGTAGGGTTTGAGTCCCACAGACACCCTCACGTGTCCAGAGATAACTGGGACAAGGACCCTACATGTGCCGAGCTCAGACCGAGAAGGGGAAGGCCGTGCTAAAGGGAGACAAGCCAGGAGTGAGGGGCCTCCCACCGGGGATGCCGCCACATGCAGAACTCTGAAAGCACCGTGAGTGCCAGGCGAGGGCCTCCACGGAGTCCGAGGGGTCCACAAATCCCTGAGCGTCGGGTTCCTCCCTGCTGTGTGGTCTTCTGGAAACTCCTTCTGCGATCACCAGAGCCTGCTCTTCCTGCCGTGAAGCTACTCATGCAGCGTGAGACCCCGAAGCCACCATCGGCAATGGTCACGCACCAGTGTTGGCGGGGCGGGCCTCCCGCTGCCACCCACGCTGAGCCAGGCAGCGGCAGGGAGGGAGCCAGGGGTGGGGCTGGGGAGCTGAGACTGGACTCACCTGGTTCTTCTTGATGAACAGCTGCACGGTTTGCAGGTTAGTGCCATAGTCGGCTGACTGGGCCAGAGGCAGCCTCTCCTCCACCCAGAGCTGCAGGGACAAGGAGGCAGGGGTGAGCTGATGGCAGCCCTACTCACAGTTCCCCAAGTTTTCACTGTGCCCTAGAAAGAGCTGTCCTGATAGCACATTAAGTCCTTTATTTATTTATTTTTGACAGGCAGAGTGGACAGTGAGAGAGAGAGACAGAGAGAAAGGTCTTCCTTTTCCATTGGTTCACCCTCCAATGGCCGCCGCGCTACGGCCGGCGCACCGCGCTGATCCGATGGCAGGAGCCAGGTGCTTCTCCTGGTCTCCCATGGGGTGCAGGGCCCAAGTACTTGGGCCATCCTCCACTGCACTCCCGGGCCACAGCAGAGAGCTGGCCTGGAAGAGGGGCAACCGGGACAGAATCCGGCGCCCTGACTGGGAATAGAACCCGGTGTGCCGGCGCCGCAAGGTGGAGGATTAGTCTATTGAGCCGCGGCACCAGCCAAGTCCTTTTTTTAAAAATATTTATTTTAAAGGCAGAGCAAGAGAGAGAGAGAAAGGGACAGATACAAAGACATCTGTCATCCCTGGTTCATTTTCCAAATGGCTGCAACAGTCAGGGCTGGACCAGGCTGAAACCAGGGTCCTGGAGCTCCATCCAAGTCACCCACATGGGTGGCAGGGGCCCAGGTACTTGGGCCATCTTCCACCTGCTTCCCGGATACATCAGCAGGAGGCTGGACTGGAAGTGGAGCAGCCAGGACTTGAACCAGTACTCTGATAGAGGATGCTGGGATTGCAGGCAGCAGCTTAACTTGCTGTACCACAGTGTCTGCCATTGTCCTATCGGGGATTTGTCCCCATTTTATAGATGAGGATATTTTGATACTTTGAACTAAGGTTCCAAATAACCTGCCCCTGGCGGGAAAGTCGGCACCTGTCAACTGTCAGAACCAGCAAGTGGAAGGGGCGTTAGCCAGTCAACAAGCCCGGCTTTGCTTTTCTACTTAATGCAATCATTAAGCAATCCCATGAGATAAGGGGACTGGGGGGGCGGGGGGGGACCAGCCACCAGCTGCCAAGAATTGCCCTGGACAGCAGCCAGCTACCCTGCTGGCAGCTGGCGGCTCAGCCCCCAGGGGTGGGAGGGGAGAGGCTGGGGCCCACGTACCGTCTCATCCTCTAAGTCCCTGCTGATCTGCAGCTTCGCTCTGGACGATTCCAGCTGCTTCTTTCTCCGCCCCAGGGGTTCCAGGAGGTCCAGAAACCGCTTCTCGATGCTCAAGTCTGCCTCCCCCGCCTCCTCTCCCAGCGCAGGCCCCTCGGCAAACAGCTCCCCCAGCTCCTCCTTGCGCATGTTCACTTGGTCCTCCACCCGCTGAGACACAAGGGTCGGCATCAGTAGTGGCCTTGGCACCTGGGCAGCCTTTCCCTGCTGTTCATGTGTCAGGCCCCCTCCCCGCCACCAAGGCCTAGGTGAAGCTCAGGCTCCTTGGAGGAGTCTCCCCAGCTGCCCTTGTCCATCATTCCCTCCTCTTAGTGCACCCTTTAATCAACCCATCCCCATCCCCGTCCTGTGCACTGTACCGGGGGAGGGACGGCTTATGAGCCCACAGTCAGCTCTGCATGACCCAGCTAAGAGGAACACAGGCATACTTACTTTAAGGTTTTAGGTTTGCACCCCACAACCCCTCCTATCCTAACATGCCGAGTCCACCACCGGCTCACATGCCTTCAGCTTAGCCAACATCCGGTTGACACTGGTCAGGTCCTTGCCCGGGTCGTCGGACCGCAGCTGCTCCTCCATGGCGTTGATCCACTTGTTGAGGTCGGCGTGCGTCTGCAGGCGCAGATCAGAGCTCCGGGCAGCCGACAGCAGTTGAGTCTTCTCCTTGGTGGTGGCCTGCAGCTTGTCCCAGAGCTGGTGCAACTCTTGCAGCCTCTGGGACACCAGAGGTGTGAACTGGGGCTTCTCTTCCATTAACTGTCTTCCTTCCTGGGGGTGGGATGGGGTGGGAAGAGAGCTCAACCTCTGGGGCCTCAGTGGGCTCAGCCTGCAAGGAGCTCCCTGCTAGGTGGTCAGGAGGGTGAAGAAGAGCTGGGTGTGTGTGTGTGTGTGGGGGGGTGATATTTGCAGAGGAGGCAGGGCAGCGAGAGCAGTACTGGGCAAATGACTCAGGGAGACTTAGCAGCATCTGTTCTGGTGCAGTGCTTGTGGGAGCCTCCCTGTGAGTCCAGCCCTCTCTTGATCTTCTTCCCACAGGCTCACTGTGCACTGTGCACTCACCTGAGGGGATCTATCTTCCTTAACTGGTTTTCACCTGAATAAAGGTACCAGGCAACTGGGAAAAACGGAACTAAAAGATCAGTTTATTTTGATGCAAAAAAACCCATCAAAAACCATGCATAGCTTTTTTTCAAATACCCATATTCTGTGAACTTTCTGAAGTTGTATGCATGGATTTTGGAACCAAAATAAACTTAGGTTTCAGTTCCACTTTTCCTGAAAGTTGTTGAAGCCCCTGGTTTGTTTTTCTGTTTGTTTCGGTGGGTGCAGTGTGATGTGAGTCAGGTCTGGGAATGTAGACTGACCGATCAGAGCCCGTGTTCCGTGGAGTGCTCATAATTGCCAAGACCGCTTCTCAGTCCTTGCGTGGTTCTAGGTACTTACTGCTCGCTGCCCCGCTGGGTACGCTATCAGCACTGTCACCCTCGCATCCCAGGTGAAGCAATGGAGCCAGCAGTGAAGGGGTCCAGCTCTGGAGCGGCATCTTTTACCCACTAGGTGGCCTGGCCTCGTGCGGACTCCAGGCCTGCTTCCACGTGGATGGCCATGGCCAGGGCAAGCGGGTGTGATTCCCAGATCTAGCCCCTGCCACACTGACCTGCACAATGGGAAAGCCCAGCACAGAGGGGTCCCCCGGTTCCCCACCTCTGAGGGTATGAGTGACCACTCTCTGGCAGTTTTGCTCATGGAAATGGTCAGGGCTCAAGGTACCCCACGGACACTCTGACCAGCTCATGCATTTCTTGTGCCCCGGGTGGGACAGGGTTAGAGACATGGCAAGGATGATGGGAGACAGAGAGTACTGTTGTCCTGGCCCTTGCTGGGGAGCCCTGGACTGTCCACAGGCGCAAGTGACCAGCCTTAAGAAGGCCGCTTCAGGAGCTCTGGAGGGCTAGCTACTATGCAGAAAGTTGCTTCGCTGACATGGTCCCTCAGGCTGCAGGGCCACGTCTGGTCCCTGGGTGAAGCCCCCACGGACAAGCAGCCTGGGCAGAGCCCCGGTGCCACCCACGCGCCTCACTCACAGCGTCGATGTTGTCCAGCCACCCCTGGTGGGAAGTCAGCTCCGCCACAAAGGCCTGGTGCTTCAGCCATTTGTTGTGGAGGTTGCGGGCTTCGTCGTAGGAGACATCCTGGGACGTCAGCAGCTTGTCATTGATCCAGAGAGTGAGCTGCGGGCAGAAAGCGTGAGTCCAGTCACCTCTGCATGTGGCTCTCTGGCTGGGCAGGACCTACTGGCCCACCCTGACTGCAGAAGGCAGCCAATGGGAGGACGGGAACTGATCTCACACGGAAGAGAACTAGCCCCATGGATCCAAGCAACTGAACCCACGCCATGTCAGGGCTGGAACGTGTGCAGTGTGGGGCCAGGGGTGACTTCTCCTTGCTCCATGCTGTAGAAGTGAGGGCAGGGCATGGTGTACTGCATGGATTCAACAAGTGTTTACTGAGTGGATGGAGAAACCCATTGGCAGGAGGGTGAGAAACTGTTAATAAACACAGAGAAAATATTAGTTGAGGAAGAAGCCAAAGGCAGATCCTATAATTAAAGAGGAGAGGACTGTGATGAGGCCCCAATGTTTCCAAGGCATCCTGGCCCCAACCCAAGCCTGGTTCGTGCCAGTGCCGAGGTGGATGAAAACAGAGCTGGGCTGTGGGGAAGGGGGTATGAAGTCGCAGCGAGAAGGAAGTCAGGGGATGCTTGGCCCCACGCGGGAGGCGCTGCCCAGGGAGGGACGCTGGCCCCAGGAGGCGAGCAGGTGTGCTGAGCCAGCAGCTCTCCAGCCGGGAGGCTTGCTCAAATACTGCTTCCTCTCACTCCTTAAGGCTGTGATTCATCCGCGCGCAAGTCAGGCCCAGGAGTCTGCCCTGGGTGGGGCCAGGTCCAGCTCCTTAATGGACAAGGCCACTGCAAAATCAAGACGCCTAGAAGTAGATGAATTTCAAGACGGGCCTTAAGCCGACGGCGATAGTCTGCTGGGTCCAGGGCACTGCAGAGCCCAGGGCGCTGTGTGCATGAACACATGGGACGGACGCCCCTCTAACCAGGGCCAGCTCGAACCAGGGCCCGAAGAGACTCTATTTCAGAGGGACTGCAAAAGGCTCGTGGAAAACAGAATTAAAAGATATGTTTATTTGAGTGCAAAAAAACTACTTGACATCCAGGCTGTTTTTCATAGGATGCCTTTCCCTCTCATACCAGTGAAATTTTTTTTTTTCACTCAAACCTTAATTCCATTTTCCATGAGTTTCTTGATGCACCCGGGTAGAGAGCGTCCACAGACCACTTTCTGAGAAACTCAGACTCACATGTGAAATGTTGACTTTTCAGATTTGCAGAAAAAAATAAAAAACTCATGAAACCGAAGATTCCAGCACGCGGCCCCCACCAGGGAATGCCCTGGGCTTCCCGCCCCGCCAGGAGGAAGCCTCGCGCGGCCGCCCACCCACCTCCTTGCAGTTCTGGAGGAAGTTCTGGAGCTCCAGGTTGTCTCTGAGCAGAACCGAGGCCTCCTGAGCCTTCTCGTCATTCTTCCTGTGCCTGGATGGGGAGCCGGAGACGGAGTTACAGCAGGCCAGGCTTGCCGTCCGTCTGCAACGCCCTCAGCCCCTGCCTGGGGATGGGAGGTACCTCTCCTCGATCTGCTGCACCTTCTCCTTGATCTTGTCCGAGTACAGGTTCCTCTGGTCCACCAGGCTGTTCCCAGAGTGCACAGGACTCAAGACTTTATCCCGGTTGTTCTCCATGGACAGCAGGAAATCCTCAAACTTCCGGATGCCGGCCTCTGCTGCTTCCAGGGAGTCAGGGGGCTCCAGGTGAGCCAAGACGTATTCCTGTTAAGCAAAGGGTTCAGATGAGGCATGAGGGCCAGCCGAGGCGGCGGCGAGGACACCTGCAAAGTGCTCCAGGGTCAACAGTGCCCTCTGGAGTTGTGGGAGGAAGAGGTGCTACTCCCCAGACCTCGCCCCTCACCCAGGGTGGGCCGGGCACAGCCTGGCAAGAGCCACGTGCAACGGTGACCACTCCTCTAGCCTCTAACTGGTCCAAGAACCAGACAAAGCTTGGAACACATGGCTGGAAAAGGCACAGTTGGTGGCTAGAGGGAGTCTGGTCGCTGTGCAGATGTTTGCAGACTTGTCTCTAGGGCTGCTGCCGCCCCGAGAGAGCCCTGTCCCCAGCCCCGAGGGCCTCCCTACCTGGTTGCTGAGGATGGCTTCAGCCTGCTTGGCGTCTTTCTGGAACTCCTGGAAGCCGAGGCACTGGGCAAGGGAGTGGCCGCGTCTCTCCCACATCTGGTGCAGGGCGTCCCAGCCAGCGTCCAGGCCCTCCAGCCGCTGGCCCAGAAGCAGGTACTCTGGGTCTGTCTGACCTTGGGTCACCTTCTCGCCAGAGGCCTTGACCTGCTGGAAGCTCTCGTGGTGCCCATCGATGTCGCTCTTCATGGCCTGGTGGTGCTGTAGGAGCTGCTCCGCCTCCGGAAGGGACTCGGGCATGTCCTCGGAGGCCACGGCCTTCTGGGCCATGGACAGCCAGGCCTGGAAGTCATCCAGATCCCGCAGGAAGGCCTGCAGCTGGCTGGCCTCCCCCAGCGAGGCCTCCTGGCCCTGCAGGGCTCGCTGCAGGCCCTGCCACAGCTCCTCCACATACTCCTGCCGCCTGCCAATGTCCTCCTTCAGCTCGGGGTGCGACTCCATCAGCCGCTGCGACTCACGCTCCAGGGCGCCCACCCGGGCCTGGATGGCGGCCACGTCGCGCTCCAGCCCCGACAGCTTCCGCTGGATGGCGATGACGCCTGCCAGGTCCCGCCCCAGGTCCTTGGTGGACTCCACCACCTTCGTCTTGTCCATGATCCACTTGCTGGTCTCCTCACAGTCCACGCAGTAGTTGTGCACACGGAGGGCGGAGTCCACTGCCTCCCGCCGCTCGGACACCATGCTCTGGAACGCCTGCCACCTGCAGCCCGGGGGGGGGAGACAGAGACCCCCTGTTCCTTAACTCTCCCACGAGTCTTCCCCCAACAAACCTTAAAGGCTGAAAGATAAATGATCAACTTAACAAAGGATGGGTGAGCAAGTGTGCCCAAGTTCAAGGTGGACTCAGAGGCAGCTGTCAATCTGCTTTCTCTCAGTAGGGGGCAAGCCGGATGTGACTGCAAACCCGAGCAAAGGCCCAGAGAGCTGGTGGGTTTCAGGCCAACATGGACCGTCCCCCACTTAGCACAATTTCACCGAGGAGTTTCCCGTTTTATAAAAGCAGTACAGGCTCAGTGCAAACTTTACTTCAGAGATTGGATTTGGATCTTTTCCCTGGCTAGTGACAGGTTACACAATCCTTCTTATTATTCTTTTTAAAAAACATTTCTTTACTTGAAAGGCAGAGTTGAGAGAGAAAGAGGGAGAGACAGAGAGAGAAGATCTTCTATCCGCTGGTTCACTCCCTAAATGGCTGCAATCAGAGCTGGGCTAATTCAAAGCCGGGAGCCAGGAACTTCTTCTGGGTCTCCCTTGTGGGTGTAGAAGCCTAAGAACTTGGACCGTCTTCCACTGCTTTCCCAGGTGCATTAGCAGGGAGCTGAACCTGAAGTGGAACAGCCGGGACTTGAACAGGTACCCTTAAGGGATGTTGGCACTGCAGGTGGTGGCCTTACCCACTATGCCATGCTGCTAGCTCTGATCCTTTTTTGCAGTGCCAGGCAGCAGCAGTGAAGACGCTCCCAGTGAGCTGCCCAGTCATGCAGGGAACAGCTGACAGGTGCTGTGTCATGTGGCTGAACACGATGTTCAGTGGGTTAGCCATGTTCCAGGCATTTTCCGTTTATGATATTTTCAATTTATGATGGGTTCATTGGGATATATGAATGGTGGGGTTATCTGCACATACACTCCAGGACCTAGGGTAACCATGCAAATATCCAAGGCTTCATTCCAAGTACCCCAGGACCTGAAAAAATAAATCACCTTAGGTCTAAAACAAGAGGCCTGGGGCTGGCGTTGTGGTGTAGTGGGTTAAGCTACTACCTGCAATGCCAGCATCCCATATGGATGCCGGTTCAAGATCAAGCTGCTCCATTTCCAATCCAGCTCCCTACTAATGCACCTGGGAAAGCAGCAGATGGCCCAAGTGCTTGGGCCCCTGCACCCATGTGGGGGACCTGGAAGGAGCTCCTGGGTCCTGGCTCCTGGCTCCTGGCTTCAGCATGACCCAACCCTGGCCATTGTGGCCATTTGGGGAGTGAAATAGAGGATGGAAGATCTCTCTCTTTCTGTCTCTTCTACCTCTTTCTGTAACTCTGCCTTTCAAAAAATAAAATCTTAAAAAAATGAAAATAAATAAGAGAGATCTGGTAAAAAGGAGGAGGAGGAGGAAGAAGAAGCTAGGATTCTAATTAAAATGGGCCCCACGATTCCAGCCTTCAGGTGCAGCGTTGCCATGGTGCAGGTGTCCTGGGGCTGGGGTTGGTCTGCAGCACACAATAAGCATCTTTTATTAAAGGTTGCCCATCATTCAGGCAAGACCACGAGGGACACCTCCGCTGGACCCAGGTACCCATTCTGCCACACTGGAATACGCAAAGCACACAAGAAGGGGCTGAAGGGGCTGGTGCTGTGGCACAGTGGGTTAATCCTCCACCTGTAGTGCCAGCATCCCATATGGGCACCAGTTCTAGTCCCGTATGCTCCTCTTCCGATCCAGCTCTCTGCTACAGCCTGGGAAAGCAGTAGAAAATGACCCAAGCACTTGGGCCCCTGCAACTGCATGGGAGACCTGGAAGAAGCTCATGGCTCCTGGCTTCAGATCAGCCCAGCTCCAGCCATGTGGCCCTTTGGGGAGTGAACCAGCAGATGGAAGACCTTGCTCTCTGTCTCTCACTCTCAGGTCTGTAACTTTACCTCTCAAAAATAAATAAATAAAATCTCCAAAAAAAAAAAAAAAAGAGGGTGCTGAATGCTCATTTCTTTGTTGACTCCATCTTTCTGGAATACCTGTGAGGGTCTAAGGCATTGTGTTAGAATTTGGGAGAATGAAGACTTAACCTGACCTTGCCCTATGGAGTGTATGATTTAGAGAGATACTAAGTTCTCAAGATAACTATAGGATAAAGGACCAGGTCCATGGCACACACAGGCAGAGAGAAGGGAGGGAGCCGTAAGGAACCATGGGGGAGGCAGCAGGTTCATGGAGGTCATCTGGGCTACACCTCAATGAGCTGACCTCCAGTGCCCACACTGCTGTGATCTCTATCATTTTTGTCCTGCCAGTGCCCAGGGGATGCAGGTGGACGGACCAGGCAGGATGCACTGTGTCTGGCCTGAAAGACGGATCTGCAGAGATAAGGAGGAGTCAGCATGGGAGGGACCAGGAATGCCACTGGAGAAGAGAGAGTGAACCCAGGCTGTGAAGTTCCTGAGCTTTGGAGAACTCTTTGGAGGCCAAGGAAGAGAAGTTGATCTGAAAACAATTATGCACTGAGAGGGAGGGGCTCCTGGGAGAGGCTCTGGCTATGCCCAAGGGCAAGAGGCCCCGTGATGACTTTCTGGCTTTTCCTGCTTTTGGTGGTCTCCCTGCCGCCACTAATTGGAGGCCACACAGAGAAAACAGGCTGTGGCTTGGGTGCAGCCTGCCCCCCAAGCCCACATGCCCCCCTCCCAAATGAACCCAACAGAACCACTCTAACTCACATCACTAAGGCAGCCTCGGGGTCCAGGTTTGGTCCAGGGCCCAAGATTTTCAGAACAATGTTGGCCAAGTAGGACGCACACAGTGAAAGATTCTCACACATTCATTACGTGTTTGGATGGCTCAGACGTGCCCAGCTTGGCAGAAGCATTCCAGCTGTGCTCCTCTTTGCTCACTTACTTTACATCTATCACACGAAGACCATGTGCCTTACCCCAGGCACTGACCTAGGCACGGGGGATTCAGCAGGGAAGAGAACAAAGTCCTTGCTTTCACTCCAGCAGAGACAAATCAATAAGCCAATAATCCAGGCTGGTGCTGTGGCATGGTGGGTTAAGCCACGGCACTGCACATGGGTGCTGGTTAGAGTCCCAGCTGCTCTACTTCTGATCCAGTTCCTTGCTAATACACCTGGGAAAGCAGCAGAGGATGGCCCAAATCCCTGGACCCCTGCCACCCACAGGGGAGACCCAGAAGAAGCTCCTGGCTCCTGCTTTTGGCCTGGTGCAGCCCTGGTCTGCTCTGGCCATTTGGAGAGTGAACCAATGGATGGAAGATCTCTCTAAGTCTGTCAAATAAATCTTCAAAGAAATAAGTTGATAATCTATCAAGTGGTGGTAACTACACGGGAAAAGTAAAGCAAGGAGGCAGGAAGGATGTAGTACTCGGAGTAATCAGCAAGGGCCGTGCCCATCAGCTGCCCTGCGGGCTGAGACCTGAACAAAGGGAGTAAACCTACAGCTACCTGGGCAAGGACCTTCTAGCCGGACACGCAGGTCCATGGTGTGCAATGCACTGTGGGCAGTGCGCAAACAGAGCCCTTCATTTGCTCAGAGTCTAGTAAGAAAGTCCTTTAGCAGTGAAGTACAATGCTGTGGCACAGAAGGAGGTGGAGTGTGTAGAAGCCGGTGGTCTCAGCAGATTATAACAGGGGTGAAAAACCCCTGTTGCCTAGAGACACGGTGGCCATGGCACTGTGCTAGGGCGAGGCGCTACCGGCATGTTGGCATACATACAACTGAATGACCAGTTGTATAAAGATAGAGCTCACGTGATTATGTGCAGGACATAATGCTTGATGATGATGAGCAACTATGCTACCGGTGTCTGTTGATACTATACTATACTTCTGACTCTTATTTTAGCTGTACTCCTAATTATAAAAAGAGTTGCCTGTAAAGCAAGGCAGCGGGTGACACTGGCAGGTGCCTCAGACCTCTCCTTCTGCGTCTGCCGATTGCATCAGTTCTGTGCTTCATTTAATCTCGGGTTGTTTTGTTCATCATGGCCCAGGAGCAATGGGCTGTATCACTTCTATATGAGGAGTCCTCAAGGGGCTCATGAAAAACGCATAGGACGAAAAGACTACCCAAGACATGCTTTGTACCAAAATAAACATCTTTTAATTCCCTTTACCCCACCAACTCTGAGAAGCACCTTCCTATACTCCATAGAACCCGGGTATGCAGTAGGCCAGAAGCCATCCGGCTTTATGTAAGTCCATCCTGTGATGTTCACACAGCAATGAAGCTGCCTCACGACACATTTCCCAGAACTTGTCCCTGTCCTTTAGTGATGCATGAGTGCAATTATAGCACAAGGGAGGATACGAAGTTCAAAAACACCATGAAGGCAGGAGAGACGGTTTCTCTTGGGAAACTGGGAAGCAGATGAACTTGGACTGGCCTAAAAGCCGGACAGGGTTTGGAACATGGAGTTGGAGGAAGAGGCACTGATGGGATGGCAGGGGTAGGGAGGCAGGATGTAGTGCAGGGGGAGGAGGATGGTTGTTTTAGCAAACATTTAAAGATCTACACATGGGGGCTGGTGCTGTGGCCTAGTGCGTAAAGCTGCTACCTGTAGTGCCGGCATCCCATATGGGCACCAGTTCAAGTCTTGGCTGTTCCACTTCCCATCCAGCTCTCTGCTATGGCCTGGGAAAGCAGTAGAAGATGGCCCAGGTCCTTGGGCCCCTGCACCCACATGGGAGACCTGGAAGAAGCTCCTGGCTCCTGGCTTTGAATCAACTCAGCTCCAGCTGTTGTGGCCATTTGGGGAGTGACCCAGAGGTTTGGAAGACCTCTCTCTCTGTCTGTCCCTCCCTCTCTCTCTCTGTAACTCTACCTTTCAAAATGAATAAATAAATCTTACAAAAAAAATCTACACATGAGCCAGGACTCAGGGGAGGTGCAGGTGTCTTTGAAGGGCAGGGCCAGAATCATTGTACACAGAATTCAAGGAGGCAGACTTCCATTCAATATGGGATCAAACGCTCTAACCAAAAGCAGTACTCCAAGTGGGGTGAGCTGCGTGGTGAGGGAGTGAGCACCTCTCCCTGGCCAGGCTGGGTGAAGTATCCAGTTGATGGCAAACCTTCTTCCTGTTCCCTGCCACAACTCAGGACAGCAGGCACCGTGGTGATGTCCACCTGGGACACCATGGCTCAGGGGCATGCAAAGATCACCATTCTCTGCCTACAGCTTGCTTTGCTGAGTTCTTCCTCTCTGGAAACGTCTCTAGTTTGGATCTGCTCGGGTTTCTCTCAATTTCTACTTCATCATCTCCCTCCCTCCCTCCGTCCTTCCCTCCTTCTCCCTCCCTCCCTCCCTCTCTCTCTCTCTCACACACACACACACATACACACACCCTGTCAGCCTGAAGAAGAGCCAGAGGCACCCCCCTCTGTATGAACAGCAGGTTCACAACGGAACCTCCAGGTCCACACCCCCGCCTGCGGATGCTGCAGCAATCACCTCCCTTCTGGCGGCCCAGAAGTATCTTGGTCACCTTTGCCTCCCCCCTTAAGCCCCCAACAGTGGCCACTGTGCCAATTCTTTTCTCTACAACTGAGTCTTCCCTAAGCCCACCTTCCAGACGGCCTCAGGCAGAGCAAGGCTCAGGCACAACAGGAGAGAAGAGGCCAGGAAATTGGGGTTGGCGGGGGTTGGGGGGGTGGGGGAGACATGTGGTATTGCAAGTGCAGGAATGCAGCCATCTGCAGCATCCTCAAAGCCCCCCCCCCCCCCCCCAGGAACGAACGGGCGATTACGTCCCCTCTGAAAGCACCACGTCCCCTCTGGAAGCACCACGTCCCCTCTGAAAGTACCACGTCCCCTCTGAAAGCACCACCGCACCCCAAAAGGCCCCTCCAGGTTTTGTCATTGCTCCAACCATGGAGCTTGCTCAAGGCTCCTTGCTAACTCTCTACATTCAAGCCAGCCTCATTATCAACCCTGCATTTTAGCACAGGCAGGAGCATTCTTTTACGGACGGTACTTAAAGAGCTCTCGGAAAGCCGTTTACCTACCGAGCCCAGGGATGTCTGGGGAGGTACCTCTAACTACGGGTACACTCAGAAGGTCCTCCCTGTGTAAATGTATACACCCACTGCCCCCCTACACAGGCCCTTCCTCCTTGCTTCTACAGCCCTGGTGGCTAAGAAGGACAGGAGCGTTGAGGGTATAAACGTGGTCATGCACGGCGGGAGACCTGAATCTGGGGCCACGCCCCCAGGGGTGCTGCAGGTGCTAAAAGACCCCACGCAGCAGCCCCACGCCCTGCGAACACCCCACCTGGTATTCAGGTTGTCCTGGTACTGCTTCACTTCACCACTGCGCGGGTGGCCGCTCTCCATCAGGCTGTTGGCAGCCAGGTTCACGCCATCGATCTGAGCCTTCAACGTCTTCATCTCCTGGTCCAGGATGTCGAATCTGATGTGGACAGAGAAAGGAGGGCCGTGGAGACAGCTGCAGACACTGCACCGCCAGCGGCCACCCAGGCTGCCAGCGATCAGCGCTTGCTTTCCTCTGCTATCCCCAACCACCCTTGTCCAGGTGAGGGGGAACAAGAAGGCAGATATGCAGGCACACCCTACTTCTCCAGCGTCATAGTTTAGCATTCTCTGGATCAGGTTAGAAAAAACCTGGTTATTTCTTACACAGCTCTCTGGCTCCATGGAAGAGTAAAGTGGAGGACGCAAAAAGGTTACAGTAGGGGGAGGTACTGATCATCACAGGACACCTGCCACCCTCCACTGTCCCAGGTGTGGCCCCTAGGCCCCTACTTCTTCCACTTGACACCTTAACCCAAGGATGTCCCCCAACCCCCAGCTGGGTAGGATAAGGGGGTGGGGTCTGTGGTTATGAAGGCCCATGCTGCTGGGGGGAAGAGCCTAGGACCCTCGGCAGTGCAGGAGCCTCCCCCCTGACTCCTGGGTCCGGTGCTTAGGGTGCGAGATGATGCCTAATGGACTGGGAGCATGCTTCTCACCTGGGTGCTGATGGAATCAGAACACCGGAAGTGGGAGTGGCTTCTCAGATCGGGGTTCACAGACTGGTCTCTGGGGCCCCTCAGGGTTGTGTGAAAGCCAGAGCTAGCAGGGGTCCAGCTTCCCCACTCTGGCCTCCAGAGCAAGAGTCACTGGGGTTCCACCCACGAAAGGACTTCAAAAGGTCACTGGAAACTGGTGCAGGTTTTGAATCCCATGCCTAGTTTTCCTTAAGGTGGAAACTTTCTGAAGGCTTTCCTAGGCATAGATTTCAAAATTTGCACCAAAATAAACTCTGAACTCCATTTTCCACGAGCTTTCTGGAAGACCCACATACCCCTTCTTTGAGAAGAGCCTGCGTAGCTGCAGAGTGACTGGATAACTGGCCTAGAAAAACCTTTGAGGAACCCCAGGCCTCCGGGAGTGAAGTAGCTCAGGCCACGGAGCTGGAATAGAGCCCTGGACTCCCACAGCACGGCGTATGCAACCCAGGGCATCCCACAGCCTCACGGGGAGGCCCCGGCTGATCTAAGACTGAGGCCACACCAGCTGGGAGGCAGCAGCGGCCAGGCCTTGGCGTGGCAGGCGAGGAGAAAGGCAAAGACTCTGACCTGTGCTGTACCACCTCCAGGTCCTCCAGGGTGTCTGGGATTTCCATCTGGGCCAGCCATTTCTCCTTCTCACCCATCCACAGCTGGCAGGCGTCCGTCTCCCCAAACACCGTGTACAGGTCCAGGGCATCCTGCAGCCTCTGTCGGCGCAGGTCCGCCTGCGCCACCACCTGCTGGTAGAGCTCTCGGAGCGCCTGCAGCCGATTGGTCACATCCGGGGAATCGCGAAACTCTTGGGGGAAGTCCTGGGCCTGCTGCTCCAGGTGCTCCATCACCCCTCGGCTCTCCTCCAGCTCCTCCAGGAAGTCCTTGTGCTTCTTCCCCAGCGCCCTCGTGGCTCCCTCGTCCTGGCCCACGTCTTCGCCCGAGAGCAGCCGGTGAGCGTCTTGCAGCCAGGCCTTCAGGTCATCCGCGTCGCCCTGGAACTGGAAGAAGTTCTCGGCGTCTTGGAGGTTCTTCTTGCGGAAGGCCGCCAGCTCCTTCAGCTGCTCCCACTGGGCGGACACCTCCTTGATGCGGGCCTCGATCTGCGGGTGCCCGAACTGCTTGCGCGCAACCATGCTCTCCGCCTCGCGGAAGATCTGCTCCAGGTGCGCGTCCAGCCCGCGGAGCTCGTCCTCGAAGGCCTTGTGCTTGCGCTGCAAGATCAGCACGCTGGTCAGGTCCTTGCCGTAGTCCAGGGAGGAGTAGATCTGCTCCTTCTCCTTGATCCAGCTCTCGGCCTCGTCCATCTCCCAAAAGAACTTCCAGAGCCGCTTGGACTGCTCCAGCTGTGCCTTCCGCCCGGCCGCCATGCTGCTCAGCTCCGCGAAGCACTGCTCCAGGTGGCTGACACGGTCCTGGATGACCTGGGGGTCGCAAGGCTGGTACCCTGGTGGTGGTGGCGGGGAGCAGGAGGAGAGAGGACAAAGCAGGGGAGGGCTTCGTTTACAGGCAAACTTCAGAGCGGCCGCCGGGTCGGAGCCACATGACCCAGGAGCCACCGTCTCCCTGGGGCTTTGGCCTTGGAGGCAGGAAAGCCCAGGTGCTCAGACAGTGGGCCAGACCCGTGCTAAGTAGTTTTGCCTAAACTTCAGGAGGAAGGGAGATTAACAGTTGGGTCAGTTCTCAGCAGAAAGGCACAACATGAAGTTAGTTTTTAAAGAGCGCAGATAGAAACTTGGAGGTGATGCTTCCCGGGGGCAGTGCTTAAGACCTGGCCCCAGAGACCTGCCTGTCTATCCATCACCGCCACCAGCTAAGAGAACAGAAGGCGGACGATGCCTGGTGGGTGTTCACGGATGCCTTTCCAATCACACACTGCCACTGCAGTGGCCCTGCTCCCGGGAGAGTTTTGCTGACCCTCAAGTTTCTATTCCCGCCAATGCTTGGGGAAAGCAGTGGAATTCTGGAGGTGGTTCCGGGAGATTTACGCCAGGTGGGCCCTGAGCCTCGGGATGGGGCTGTGGCCTTGGGACACGCGAGGGAGACTCTCTGGAACCTCACCTTTGCCCTCCGTGAACTGCAGGGTGGCTGCTGTGATGGCCTTCACTTTGTCCCCTTGGATGGCGATGTCGGCCTCCATCAGCCTGTGTTTCTGTAGCAAGTCCTCCACCTCCAACAAGTGCTTCCCGAACTCAGCCGACAAGAGGTGAGCCTGGCAGAGAAGGCAGGGCAGAGGGGAAGGAGGACAAGTGAAGAGGCCTCCACGGCAGAACAAGGCACCCCTCCAAAAGCTGTGTCCAGGCACGAGTGCACTTCAGAAACAAAATGCTCTCCGTGCAGTCAGGCTAATGGCCAGAGAAAGCGGCGGAGGATGGTTCTGGGCGAAGCTCCTGGCTCCTGACATCAGCCTGGCCCAGCCCCAGCCACTGCGGCCATGTGGGGAGTGAACCAACAGATGGAAGATCTCTCTCTCTTCCTCCCTCTCTCTTTATAATCTTAAAAATATACTCTAAAAAAAAACCCATGGATTATCAGATAAGTTTATTTTGGTGCAAAAAACTGAAATCCATGCACGTTTTTTCATATCATGCATTTTTCATGAGCTTTTTTGAAGACCTCTCATAGGTGTAGACATCAGAAACTTTCTTTTTTTTTTTTTTTGCATCAAAGTAGATTTACCTTCTGATTCAATTTCCCATAAACTTTTCCAAGTGTCCTCGAATCTGAGTCAGGGAGAATCAGATGCAGGTGGAAAACAGCTGCCGCTCAGGGGAAGAAGCTCAGAGCGGGGGTTTCCTCCCGGGGATGCCCTTCAGAATCAGCCACGGGCTGTCCCAGGGGAGCCCGAGCCCCACACTGGGGCCTGGGCACGTGCATTTTTGGAAAATTTTACTTATTTCATTTGAGAGGCAGAAAGAGAGAAAGAGAGAGAGAGAGAGAGAGCGAGCGCAAGAGAGCAATCTTCCATCTGCTGACTCACTTCCCGAATGCTTTCAACTGCTGGAACTGGCCTGGCCCCAGCCAGGAGCAGGAAACTTGATTTGGGTCTCCCAAGTGGGTGTCAGGAGCCCACTGCTGGAGCCATGACATGCTGCCTCCCAGGAAGTTGGAATTGGGAGCCAGGACAGGACTTGACCCCAGGCACTCTAATGAGGGCTGTGGGCATCCTAACCAGCGTCTTAGCTGCCAGGCCGAATGCCCGGCCCCAGCAGGTGCAGTTTCTGGCCTGTGCCCTCGGGTAAGACCCCTGGTGGAGAGGGAGCCATGAATTCACTCACTGCCCCTGGACTAGGGTCTGGCTTCTAACCAGAGACAAAGGGGAACCACTCTAAGCTCAAGTCCTGAGGTTCTCATTAGTGTCTCTTTCAGGTGCTTATGTGACCATGAACTTGACCTTCTTGGTTGCTGGGGTTACCGTGGACCTGGGCTGGAGCCGAGGGAGCCTGGCAGCAGGCAGGTGCACTTGGACATGGAGCTGCCTCAGTGTACGCTGACTCAGGGACGTGTCCCCGCCCACCTTGATCTCGTCCATCCAGTCGATGCTGTGTAGCATGTCCTGGAACAGCTTCTGCAGCGCCAGGGTGGTCTCGAGCCTGCGGCGCCGGGCCTGCAGCAGCTCCTGCAGGTAGCTCCACAGCCGCAGCACGTTGTCCTTGCGGGCCGTGACGCGCTTCTGGTCGTGGTAGTTCTCTCGCTCCAGCTCCTGGGCCAGGTCCTCCAGCGCCCGCACCCGCTCCTCGTAGGCTGCTGTGTCGGTCTCGATGGCCTCGTGTTTCTTCTTGGCGGCCTCCACAGCCGCCAGGTCGTACCCAAAGTTATCCTGTCCCCGGGGGTGGGGGGAGGGGAGAAGAAGAAAAGCAGGAGGTTATGTGAGACTCTCCCCGGCTCACCCTGGCCGGATGCAGCAGAGAACGGAGCGGCTGGTGGCTTTGCTGCCTGTGGCGATTGCTACCTGCAGGCTCCCAGCACAGCCCTCTGGGGCCTCCAGGTTGGCGCCGGCAGGGAGGGGCAGCTGTGAACAGATGGTCTGCCGCGTGCTATCTGGGGCGCACGGACACTGCAGCCTCCCAGAACACTCGCTACCCCCTTTCTGGACAGAATTTAATTTGATTCCAAGCTCTAAGTGGGAGGAAACAGATGCTCTGATTAAAAAAAAAAAAATCAGCTCTGGGGTCAGTTCTTAGCTGGCAAAATGCCAGGCCACTTCAAAAAACCTCACAGAATAATGGAATTAAAAGATAACCTTGGAGCAAAAAAATGTTGAGATCCGTGCATGGCTCTTACATAACACACAGCTCCACGAACTTTTTGAAGACCCTGCTCATGTCTCGGTCCAGGAGGCCAGAGCTTGGAAGGCACGTGACACAGATGAGCTGTGCTCTGTGCTCAGTGCGTCTCCTGGGACCGGCTACTCAACCTCAACTCAAACCCCTGCTTCAGTGGCTGCCACGCAGGCCAACGCGGGCAGCCAGGACTGCACCGGGAGGTTCTTTCCTAAACACGAGACTTAATAAATCCACAAAGTTCCTCCCCGCATGAACACCCTGATCCTGCCAACCATGGGGTGCTGGGCTGCAGGTGCCTGCTGAGAACGGGGTGCTTTCCCGCCACCCGCAATGGTGTGCCCCGTCCCTGTTACCTGGGCCACGAGGCGCTGGTTTTCATTGAGCCACGTCTCTCTCATCGCGGCCTTCCGGTCAAATCTCCTGGCCAGCTGCTCCAGCTTCTCCTGTCGGATGAGCTCGTTCCGCAGGGCCAGCTCCCGCCGATACTCGGCTTCCTCCAGGCTTTCCCAGGCCTGCGTGAGGGGCAGAACAAGTGTCAGGGCACAGGAGAGACAGCTGGGGTCAGGGGTGCCATCTCTCTCCACCTGACACTCTGAATCTAGGCAGGGTCTGGCGCTCCTGCGTAAGGAGGCGGCAGATTCGAGGTCAGTGTCAGCCTTTTGGTTTTGTGGCAGGGCCAAGCAAAGGTGTGTGGAGCACCTGCTGGTGTGGGCCTTGTTCTCCAGACCCTTGGCCTAACGGGAGGAGTCTTCAAAAATTTTTATTGGAGTGGGGGCGGCGATGCTGTGGTGTAATGGGTAAGGCTGCTGCCTCAGTGCCAGCATCCCATATGGACCCAGGTTCGAGTCCCGGCTGCGCCACTTCCAATCCAGCTCTCTGCTATGGCCTGGGAAAGCAGTAGAAGCTGGCCCAATTTTGGGGGCCCCTGAACCACTTGGGAGACCTGGAGGAATCTCCTGGCTCCTGGCTTCAGATCGCCCCAGCTCCAGCAATTACAGCCATTTGGAGAGTGAACCAGTGGATGGAAAACCTTTCTCTCTGTCTCTGTCTCTCCTCTCTCTGTGTAACTCTACCTTTCAAATAAATAAATAGGTAAGTCTTTAAAAACAAAATTTTTGTGGGAGAAATGGAAGGAAAAGATGTTTATTTTGGGGCAAAATTTTTTTGAAAGCCACGCATAGATTTTTTGCCCCCATAGGATGCATTTTCCATGAACTTCTGAAGAGCCCTCATAACGTTTTTCACCTCCCTGGGCGCTTGCTAAGTTCTTACTGAGCAAACAGTTACCTCTACTCTAACAGAACTTGCAGGTGACGTTAAGTCTCCACAATTATTTTGTGATAAGCAGTGACTATCTCGTGTTCAAAAACCAACTGAAGGTTCCCTAGGGGACAGACTGCAGGACCCCCGAAACACGGGCTCTGAAGTCCGAAGATGGGGCTGGCTTGAAGTAGGATTCGACCACTTGGAAGCAGGTTCAGGGAGCACCTACAAATACTCAGCATGTATCACCAACACCACCAAAGACAGTGGCGTGGTCTACGCCCGCCCAGGGACCATCCTCTGTGTTTGTCTTGGGAGCTCAGTCAGCCCACTGGCAATGCATCATGGCACACAGTACTGTACCCGGTTGATGTCGGACACCAGCTTCCCATCATGGGGTGTGTACACTTTCTGGTTGTTGGCTCTCATCCGGGACTGGATGGTAAACAGTAGGACTTCCAGATTTCCCTTTTCTTGAAACCTACCGAGAAAACAGAGGCAGGAAGATGGGTGTAAGATCCCCACGGCCCAAAGCTTTTGCTTACAACAGTGTGGAACCCTGGTATCTTAAAGCTTGGATAGTAAAACGCATTTTCTGGGGCCAGCAGCGTGGGTTAATGCCCTGGCCTGAAGCGCAGGCATCCCATATGGGTGCTGGTTTGAGTCCTGGCTGCCCCACTTCCAATCCAGCTCTCTGCTGTGGCCTGGGAAAGCAGTAGAGGATGGCCCAAGTCCTTGGTTCCCTGCACCCACAGGGGAGACCCAGAAAGAAGCTCCTGGCTCCTGGCTTCAGATTGGCCTAGCTCCAAATGTTGGGGCCAACTGGGGAGAGAACCATTGGATGGAAGATTCTCTCTCTCTCTCTCTGCCTCTCCTCTCTCTGTGTAACTCTGACCTTAAAATAAATAAATAAATAAGTCTTAAAAAAAAAGTAAAATGCATTTAAAAAAAAAAACAAAGAAGAAGGAAGGAGGAGTTATAGTTCTGCTTAAAAAAGCATCATTTGTACCGTCTGAGACTAACAGGGGCTTCTCCGGTTCCATACGAACCAGAGAAAACACAACGTCTACCGCGGCATTTATCACCTGCTTCCCAGAGGAATGGCTGAGTGGAACATTCTGGTAACGCCTATCAATATCAAGTTCTACCAGTCGATGGAAAGAAACCTTTCTCTGGCCTGCAAATAATGAAAGCTTCTGACAGCGCTTCAGGTTTCCTCCTCCTATTTTTTTTTTTTTTTTTATTGAGCGAGTCAGTGGAATCCCAGAAGCTGCATTATCCACGTGAGAACACGATGCACTAAAAGCTGCTTTTATCTGAGTCGGGTGGACCTCCAGCCAAGCCCCACAGCCTGGATGCTCCCAAGAAGGGGGGTGGGCTGGGCTCTGGGGAGCCGCAGGTGTAGGAGGCAAGCGCGGGCAGCAGCCAGGCACCGGGGGCCCACGCTCCAGGTGAACAGCACACTTGTACCTTCCTGCACATGCCCGAGAACCTGCCCACTTCCACATCCTGGCATGGCAGCCAGGATCCCCACCCTGGCTCTAACAGATCGAGTGCTCTCAGGCAAGGTAAGAGGACCAGGGCTCAGAGGCACCGTCTACACAGCCAAGAGATATCACCCCTGTGTGCAGAGCCCGCTACACTCCTTGACGTTATCCGTGCTGAATTTAGGACTTTAAAAGTGGGTTAGTGTCAGATCAGAAACCAGACACTTGTTTATAGTACATGCTAGACCAGCGTCTCACCTTTCCACCTTGGAGAGCCATGAATGGAGTGTGGCAGAGGGGTGGCGGAGGAGCAAGGCAGAGGGCACTACCCGTGAGTCAGACACCTCTCAGGGCAGCTGGGAAAGCTACAGGCAGGGAGCTGGGATGCCCAGGGGTGTGTGCATGCAGGTGCACGCTTGGTTGTGTGTGCACTCAGGTAAGTGTGTGCCTGTATGGCTCTGTGTGTGCACGCACAGTTGCTTAGGCACACACACACACGTGTGTGTCTGCACACGTGCTTAAACATGGCTGTGTGAGCACATGCATGTGTGTGTGAATATGTGCATGCATGGCTGAGGGTATGTGTGCATACATTACAAGTGTGCACAGTTGTGTGTACAGATGTGCATTTGTGTGCAGGCCCCACACACATGTGGTGGGCCGAGGCTTGACTATGCTGCGGAGCAGTGACAGATGGGAGAGAGAAGGATGTGCAGGGGCATGCACAGAACTCCGCACAGAGCTCAGTCTGAGATCACCAAGCTCATCAGCAGGAAGCAACCCCACGGTAGAGGTTCTGCAAAGCGACTCGGAAGCCCGAGACCCGGGGGGTTGGGGGAGGCACTATCCCTGCTTGTGCCCAAACAGCTACGGCCGTTTTATGAGAGCTGGGGGATGGGGTGGGGAGGGGGACACCTCCAAACATCCGAGACGCCGCAAAGGTATTCCCTTTCTGTTGTAAGTCATTAACGTTCCACGTTCAAAGACAAACTCAAGGTCTTACAAAAGCAGCTCCAGCCGGCGCCGCGGCTTACTAGGCTAATCCTCCGCCTGTGGTGCCAGCACACCGGGTTCTAGTCCCGGTTGGGGTGCTGGATTCTGTCCCGGTTGCCCCTCTTCCAGGCCATCTCTGTGCTGTGGCCTGGGAGGGCAGTGAAGGATGGTCCAAGTGCTTGGGCCCTGCACCCGCATGGGAAACCAGGAGAAGCACCTGGCTCCTGGCTTCGGATCAGCGCAGTGCCAGCCGTAGCAGCTACTTGGGGGGTGAACCAGTGGAAAAAGACCTTTTTCTTTCTCTCTCTCTCTCTCTCACTGTCTAACACTGCCTGTCAAAAAAATAAAAAAAAAATAAAGAAAATAGGGCTCTGGGTGTCTGAACGGGGTGGGGGAGAGCGAGTCCTCAGTACTCATTTTCCACAGGTTGGTGGCTGGGGAGCAGGTGGTGAAATGGGGCCGCCTTGGGCAGAGGACTGACTGGGCATGCAGTTCCCTCACCTGGAGGATGTGCTTTGTGGGTACATGTTGCAAGGCCCGAGCCCACCCTGCCTGTGGGCGGTGGGCTTCCCAGGCCTGCTACCCACCCTCCCAGGTGCCAGGGCCCTTACTTGGGCGGCTTCTCCACAGTGCGGTAGGTGCTGAAGGCCTGTAGCTGCTGCTGGACGCCGGCCAGCGAGTTGGCAAACTTGCGGCTGTTGAGGACGACGATGGTCTGTTCGATCCAGGTGAGCAGGTCCGAGGCTAGCCCGCTGTACTTCTCGATCATCTTCTCAGTCTCAATGGCGTGGTCGATGACCTAAGGGACCACCCTTATCACAACTCCTTCTCATCAGCAGGGCAGTGCCACCACCAGGGAGTCCACCGTGAGAACCACAAAGCAAGGCGCCCCGAAATGGGGATCCCACCTCTCAAGCCCCGCAGTGTCTGAGGTTGGAGCTAAGGCAGAAGGGGTGGACTGGAGGTGGGGGAAGGCCCAGGAACGGTGCCTCTGTCCCCCACCCCCATCCTACAGACAGGTAAGTTCGCTGTGCTGGAACACCAGTTGCTAGAGGAGCCAGGGTTTTGGTATGTTAAGATGCCCGGTAGGCATGGAGGGCTGCCACGCCCTGTCCCTGCTAAACACCAGGCACACAGAGATGAATAAGAAACGCTCCCCACCCTGGAGGAACTAGCAGTCCGCCCGGGGAAAGGAGTCTGGTGGACGCCTGGCACACGGAGGGACCCTGATACATCTGAAGCGACCCTGAGCAAGCCCACCACAGCCTGCGCCGCCTAGGGGGTGCTCCAGGTACAAGGCTGGCTTGGAGCTGCAGTTAGGACAGACTGGGAACCTGCCAGGAATGCAGCGTGGGGAGCCCTTAACCTGGCTTCTCAGGAAGCAGGGGTGTGTGTGTGTGTGTGTCTGCACCCTGTCCCCACCCCCATCCCTGCCCACCACGGCTGAGAGCCCAGGCAGGAAGCTCTTAGCATGGGGCGGGAGTCTGTCAGTCCAGGGTGGCGCCGTGGTTCCAGGCTGCTCGGTACCTTGCCAACACGCTTGCCCTCCACGGCCAGCACCTTCATCTTGGAGAAGTAGTGATAGAATGCCACCACGTAGGTGATGATGGACTTCTCATCAGGGTTCTCTGTGAAGACATCTGCAAGGGCAATGGGTACCCACTCAGCTTCAAACCAGAAGACAGAGGCTCAGGCTCCCAGGGCTCAGCCCACTGATCCTCTGGCACCCAGACACTGAGGGACAGCCCAACAGAGCAGGACCAGAAGAATGAAGCCTCAGTGGTCTTACGGAGCAATGGAATCCCCCATAAGCACCACAGTTTGCAAAAGAAGAGGGAACCGAAGTTCTCGGTGGGCCTCCAGACAGACAGGTGAGGTTCTGAGAACCCAGCAGAACCCCTGCCCATCCCGTGCCTACAGCTTGCCCAGCACCTGCACCAGCCTCCCTGAGCCCTGTGGGGCCTGGCTCCCTCCAGCACCGTGAGTGCTTCTCTCATGGTCCCAGGTATGGGGCGCTCACCTTCGGGGTCAAGGAGCGGGATGATGCCCAGCTGGCGCTCGGCCACGTCAAACGCATGCTCCAGGTTGTGGCGGGCATTGGAATCCTTCAGCTTGTCAAAGTCGATCAGGTCAGGCCTGGGGAGGACATTTGACTGTTAGAAGGGAGTAGCCAGGGCTGGCGCTGGGGTGTAGCAGGTTAAAGCCTTGGCCTACAGCTCTGGAATCCCATATGGGTGCCAGTTTGGGTCCTAGCTGCTCCACTTCCAATGCAGTTCCCTGCTACTGTGCCTGGGATAGCAGTGGAGGATGGCCCAAGTCCTTGAACCCCTGCACCCATGTGGGAGACCCGGAAATAGCTCCTGGCTTCGGATCGGCACAGCTCCAGCCATTGAGGCCATTTGGGGAGTGAACCAGCAGGTGGAAGACCTCTCTCTCTCTGCCTCTGTCTCTCTGCATTTCTTTCAAATAAATCTTAAAAAAAAAAAAAAAAAAAAAAAGAGTGTCCACTCTCTTGCTTCGTTCTGGGGAGACCAGCTAGGTAAGGATGGCATGAAAACAAGGACTCTGGGCAGATGTAAGGGGGTGGCCAGGCAGCATAAAAGAAAGGAGAGATGGGAACGGGGTGGGTGCTGGGTGGGGGGAGGGGCAGCAGTGAGCACCAGGGGCTAAGGATGCCAGGGTAAAAGGCGAAAGGACCAGGCAAGGCGGAGACACCACTCCCGTGCTTCCATGTTCAGCTCCATGTGTTCCCGTAGCCCCAGGGGTGCTGCCTGGGTCACTCCCACACCACCTCCTTCTTCCTACCGGTGCTTGTGTATCAGCGCGTTAAAGGCCAGGCCATCCTTCCAGCTGGAGGTGAAGTTGGTGACGTTGACATGGGGGTAGCTGCAGCCGAGAGAAACAGAAGCGTTAAGAGCTAAGAAACTGATCCTTTGTGGTCCCTAAAAAGAGTCCCCACTGAGGGCCCGTAGGCAGGGGGAAGGATGGACCAGTCCCTTCTTGAGCTGCATCACCACCAGGGGGCAGCAGCAAGGCCACGCATAGGGGCTCCCCTGCACAATGCGCCCCATGGACCCAACAGTCGGGCCCAGCCACTGGGGAAGAGAATCCTGCCTCCCAGGTCCCAAAGGATCGGGTCAGGGTAGACTCTGCAGCCGCTGTGTTGAAGCTGCCAAGTGGGTCCGGGTGAGCATGCTTAGGGATCCTTTGGGGATGGCAGTGCAGGGGGCAAGGGGCAGCCAGGGCCTGGCAGGGAGCAAGGGCTGCTCCCCAGGGCATACCCTGCCGTCTTCATCTGGCACCACAGGAGCAATGCATCCTTGGCTGAGCGTGTCTCTCGGCCTTCCTGAGTCTGGACAACGATATCCTGAATCTGAGGGTGGGAGACCAAGAGAGCGATGAAGTGGGGATTTGCACCTGGATCCGGCCCTTCCTGCTTCTCTCCTCTGGAGGCAGCACCATGCCGAGAGCACACCACACCCTGAGGCCCCCCGGTCCCTTCCCTGCCGTGCAGAAGCCGGGCCGGCGTCGGGGTGGCTGCCTCCTGTCCTAGCAGACAGCTCTAGTCAGCTGACTCTATCAGGATGCTGAGAATCAACTCTGGGATGCTGATTCCTCCCCTGGAGCCACGGTGACCCACGGGGCTGTGGGCCACGAACGTTGCATTTGCATTCATAGCTCCTCTTGCCCTTTCAGTCTCCCCAGTTCTGCTGTCATGATTGCTCACTCTCCTGCAGTGGTGGAGGGTGAGCCTGGGCACCCAGGACCACTTGGACGGGGTGTGCAGTCTGCAGGCTGTTCTTCCCCTGGCCAGCTTCTTCCCGTCCCTAAAGCAGCAGGTGCAAGGCCCTGCCTTCCTTCCCTCACCCTTTCTAAATTTGCTAATGAGTAATCAGGACTTTGAACTCCAGGGTGAAACGAAGAAAAACTCAATTGCAATTTCTTGGATTCAAAATCCAAGAAGCTACGCATGTGGGGAGGGGGAGACGAGGAATACAAAGCATGTCTTCCAGTGAGATCTTAATCCAGCTACCAAACGATTTCTGTCTCCCCTCTCCAAAGACCGCCCTGTGGGCTGTGCAGCCACCCCTGAGCATCAGTGATTGGCAGGGATGCAGACAGTCCCCTGGAGCAGCTGCCTGCACCCCCAGAGCCTGCACACTCCCTCGCATTCTCATTCACCATTTGGTGAGAGCCCCAGCCTCTCGGGAGGCCCCTTCGACGCCTCGGGCCCTGGCACCCACCTGGAAGCGGAGGATGATGGTCCAGATGAGGCCGAGGACCAGGCGGTGGTTGCCGTCCACGATGTCGTGGGAGCCCATGTTCTCCAGGTGCACACGCTGCTCCTTGAGGAACTGCAGGGCCTTGTCCACGTTTTCCAGGCAGTGGATGCGCATCTTCCCCTTGGTGGGCTTGGGCTGGAGGAGAGCAGTGGCCCCCGCGGGCATGGAAGGGGCTCTCCTGTCATCAGCACCTACCCTCCACCCTCCGGGCCAAACTCCAAGTGCCACAGTCACCCATCGTCTCCTCCCCAGCCCCTCTTCTCAACCACTCAGAGCTCTGCCACCAGGCTGCACTAGTGTCTTCCGAGCAGTTGACAAATGACATTTGAACATGGTAACCCAACAGACGGTCAACTGAGCACTCGGTAGGCAACAGGTGCGCTTCTAAGAATCTCACTGCCCATTGGAGGGAAGACTGATTTTTAACCCAGTGATTGATAATGGAGGCAACCCTGCCAATCAACCTCCTCTTTCCTCTCCCAGTCCCACTTCGGGACACTGTCATGAATGACAGCTGTGTCATCTTAAGGGCTCCTGGCGGTAACTCTCTCCGCTGGGCTCCCAGTGCAGGGGAAGAGGCAGAATGCCAGCCCGGGGTTGGAAAGACCACAGCAGGACGTGGCACTCTGTCACTCAAAGCTCCGGGGTCTCAGAGTGCTTCATCAGGTACAGGTATCATTGCCCTGTTTTATACATGGAGAAGATGGAGGCAAAGAGGGTGCGATGGGCCCAAGGGCATAAAGGAAGTACTTATGCCTCAGGGACCACAGTGTGCCAGGCGCAGGGAGGAGGACACAGCTCAGAGTGTCTGAGAAACTTACGCTTGCATGACTGGGGAGCTTCCAAGAGGAATGCAAATTTCTCCAGCACCTAGAGGTCTCAGCCGATAGTACCAGGAGGCTGAGGGCTGGAACGTGCAGGCCAGCTGTGGATGCCCCAACCCCGTGAGTGTCAGGAGCTTGACATGGGGGCGGGCATTTGGCCTACAGATGAAGGTTCCAGCTAAGACATCATGGTCTGTATCAGAGGGTGTGGATTTAAGCCCCGCCTCCAACGCCTGACCTCACTTCCTGCTGGTGCACACGCTGTGAGGCAGCAGCGATGGCTTAAGTAACTGGGTCCCTATCACCTGCACGAGAGAACTGGACTGAGTTCCTCCTGGCTTCAGCACCGCGGTGGGCATTTGGGAAGTGAGCCAGAAGATGGGAGTTTCTCTCCCTCCCCCCACCCCTCTCTCATTTCAAACACACGAAAATTTAAACTGTTGTTTAAAGAGCTCTGTGTGGTTTCTGGGAGAAGCAAGACGGGTGGGCATGGTCAGAAGGGGCAGGACGTTCTGGGCAGAGAGCAGAGAACCCAATCAACCACTGGGACACTTCCCGCTGGAAATACGGGAGCCTCCCAGGGGACCAGGGAGACGGCCCCGCCCACGCGGTTCCAGCCACCGGGCCCGGGGGAGGGGCTTACCAGCGTCTCCCCGGAGAGCACCTCCAGCAGTTTGATGAGCATCCGGCCATCCCGCAGGTCCTTGTAGAGGTCCGTGATGCGGCAGGATGCGCGGGCCAGGTGGGAGTTCACCCACTTCGTAAAGGTCTTTTTCTGAACAACTTCCCGCTCGTCTGGATGGGGAGAAGGGCCCTGGGTGAGGTGCCTGACCCTGGCAGGGGCCGTGTGACACCGTCATCCCACCAGGCTCCCCACCCCACTTCCCCAGGCCTGGCAGGGGCATTCATTCGCGATGCATCCCCACACCATCAGGAGAAAGCAGTGACATCACTCCCCCACGACATTCTGTGCACAGCCCCAAGATCCTAGTGCAGCCATCTGCCTCCCTGAGCCAGTCAGAATACTCTGGACTCTTGCGCTAGTGAGCTAAGATCTCAATGCCACATCCATCCCTCTCTCTCTCTGTCCCTCCCTCCCTCCCTCCTACACCCACCCACCTACCCATCAGTCCATTCATCCATTCCTCTACCCACCCATTCCTCCACCTACCCATTCATCCATCCATCCCACTCAACAAATATTCCCTCTGCCTAAAATGCTCTCTCTCGGCTCCTCCCCTTCATGCTGCCCATTTTGCCTAACTCCCAGTCATCTTTTAAGAGTCACAGTAGGGGCTGGCACTGTGGCATAGTGGGTTAAGCCACTGCCTGCAGTGCTGGTATGCCATATGGGCGCTGGTTCGAGACCTGGCTGCTCCACTTCCGATCCAGCTCTCTGCTATGGCCTGGGAGAGCAGTAGAAGATGGCCCAAGTCCTTGGGCCCCTGCACCCATGTGGGAGACCAGGAGAAAGCGCCTGGCTCTTGGCTCCAGATTGGTGCAGCTCTGGCTTTTGTGGCCAACTGGGGAGTGAACCAGTGGATGGAAGACCTCTCTCTCTCTCTCTCCTCTCTCTGTGTAACTCTTTCAAATAAATAAAAAAAGTAATGTCTGTAACAGATGAAACACACAAAACAGATAACATCTAAAAGAAAAAAAAAAGAGGATAAACAGTGCTTCTCAAGAGAGCTTCTCCTCACTCTCGCCTAGGGTGTCCTGACTCCTGCATTTGCATTCCTAAGTATCAGGTGAGGTATGCATTTCTTTCCTGCAAGAAAGACCCTGAGCCCAGGCAATACTGTCTTTTTTTTTTTTTTTTTTTTTTGACAGGCAGAGTGGACAGTGAGAGAGAGAGACAGAGAGAAAGGTCTTCCTTTGCCGTTGGTTCACCCTCCAATGGCCGCCATGGCCGGCGCACCGCGCTGATCCGAAGGCAGGAGCCAGGTGCTTCTTCTGGTCTCCCATGCAGAGGCAGGGCCCAAGCACTTGGGCCATCCTCCACTGCACTCCCTGGCCACAGCAGAGAGCTGGCCTGGAAGAGGGGCAACCGGGACAGAATCCGGTGCCCCGACCGGGACTAGAACCCAGTGTGCCGGCGCCGCTAGGTGGAGGATTAGCCTATTGAGCCACGGCGCCGGCCAATACTGTCTTATTCACCTCCCTGTCCCAGAGCCTGCGGGTGGTAGGGGCCCCACAGCTGTGCTGTGCTGACTGTACCAACAGTTCTTCAGCTCCCACAGTGTGACAGGCCTGTGCTAGGCCTGATGACACCTGGACGTAAACCAAACAGCTTGCTCTCAAGGAGTTGCTGGTGGATAGAGGAGAAGCACAAACAAGAGACCAGGCAGGTCAGGCAGAGTGTGATCCACACGGGGTTAAGGCTTGGGGCAGGGGCGGTCCATTGTATCACACCATTCTTGTCACCCCCAGAACGGCTGGCAGGAGGTCCCTGGGAAGGTGACGTCATCTCCCTGCCTGTGATCAGCACCTGCCCACACTAAGCTCCTGGCCCTGCTGTGCAGTTCAGGTGGGGACTCTAGGGCACCTCCACGTAAACAGACGTCAGGGCTGGAGAGAGCACAGAGCAAAGGGAGGAATAGCACAAAGCAGGGGAGAATCGTGGTGAAAGGGAGATGGAAAAACAAACAAGATCCACACAGCTGCAGCCAAAACAAACAAGATCCATACAGCTGCAGCCAAAAAGAAACAAGATCCATATAGCGCAGCCAGGTGTTCGGTGCAATGGTTAAGATGCTGTGTGGAACGCCCACATCACCTATCTGAGTGTCCAATCCAAGTCCTGGCTCCTCTGCTTTGGATCCAGCTTCCTGCTAATGTGCACCCTGGGAGATGGCAGATGATGGCTCAAGTACTTGGGTCCCTGCCACCTACACGGGAGACTTGGCTCCTGGTTCTGCCTTTTTTTTTTTTTTTTTTTTTGACAGGCAGAGTGGACAGTGAGAGAGAGACAGAGAGAAAGGTCTTCCTTTACCATTGGTTCACCCTCCAATGGCTGCTGTGGCTGGCACGCTATGGCCAGTGCACCACGCTCATCCGAAGCCAGGATCCAGGTGCTTCTCCTGGTCTCCCATGCGGGGGCAGGGCCCAAGCACTTGGGCCATCCTCCACTGCACTCGCAGGCCACAGCAGAGGGCTGGCCTGGAAGAGGGGCAACCGGGACAGAATCTGGCACCCCAACCGGGACTAGAACCCAGTGTGCCAGTGCCACAGGCAGAGGATTAACCTAGTGAGCCGCAGCGCCGGCCTGGTTCTGCCTTTCAACAGCTTAAACCTGGCTGTGTGGACATGGGGGGACCGAACCAGCAGATGAAAGATCCATAGCTGCCTCTATGACTTTCAAATAAAATACATTTTAAAAAGTATTTTTTTCAAAGAGACAAAAGAGAAGGAGTGAGCCTTTGCCCCCCTCCTTTTTTTAAGATTCATTTTTATTTATTTAAAAGGCAGAGTTAGAAAGAGTAAGAATCAGGACTCGAACCAGTGCCTACATGGGACGCTGGTACTGCAGGCAGAGACTCTACTGCTATGCCACAGCGCTGGTCCCTCCATGTGGTTTTATGATCAGCTGGGGACTTGGGTTTGAAGATTCAGGCAAGAGTTGATGGGGCAGGGGCCAGCGCTGTGGTATTGCTGGTAAAGCCGCCACCTGCAGTGCCGGCATCCCATACAGGCACCGGTTCAAGTTCTGGCTGCTCCACTTCTGATCCAGCTCTCTGCTGTGCCCTGGGAAAGCAGAAGATGGCCCAAGTCCTTGGGCCCCTGCACCCACTTGGGAGACCTGGCTCCTGGCTTCAGATCGACACAGCTCCGGCTGTTGCGGCCAACTGGGGAATGAACCAGTGGATGGAAGACCTTGCTCTTTGTCTCTGCCTCTCCTCTCTCTGTGTAACTCTGACTTTCAAGTAAATAAATAAATCTTTAAAAGAAATAAAAGAGTTGATGGGCAGAGGAGCTGGGCTGGGGGTGCTGGAGCAGCCCCTGGGATGGTGCTTGGGGGCAAGGTCACAGCCAAGGCAGACCCGAGCTGCCCGGCCAGGAGGGAGGGTCGAGGTTGTGGGAGCAGTCCAAACCGTGTTAGGGGTGGCTTTTTAATAATTAAACATCTGATTTCACACCGAGAGAGAGGAGTTGAGCCAGCGCCGCCTCAAGGGCATAATGCTGGCAGCTCCTCAGGCTCACTCCCCCCTGCTTCGTGGCTATTTTCGTGTTAGGAACTCGGAACTTTTATTCGTCTGTTGATTCATTCATTCAGCAAACGCTGACTGTACACCCGGCGGCAGCAGCCAGGCTCCGGGTGGACGTGAGGGATTCACGGACAAGACAGGCACGCTCCCCGTGTCACACAGCCTCGGCGGCAGACGCCACGGGCTCTGTGGTGTCCATGAAGAATTCCACAGCACTCATCTGAGCAAGACTCCCGAGGAGAGGGGCCATACGCCAGCTGCCTGCACAAGTCTCAGGAAGAAGAAAGTGACCGTGGCCTTCACTGGGTCTAGGCCTCTGGGCACAGTTTCAGAGTGGGGGGGGGACCCTGACCTTGGGCCCTTCTGTCGACAGCAGGTGCAGCAGCTCTCCTGGTATCAACAGCTGCTTCAGCAAAGCCAAGCTTGCACTGTCTTGTCACACTGGACAGAGAGCAACTCCACGTACTCTGCACATGTGCAGATTCAACAGGGCCAGCCCCCGCCCCCTAGAGCCCTCTTTAAGTGGCTCGTCCCTCCCTTTGGCTGAGGGGTTGGCATTTTTAGTGCCCTGAAAAATCCAAAGTCCTTTCTCCCTTCCTCTTTCCCCCGTCATTCAGAAACCAGAATTTCATCCGAGTGCTGACAACTGTTTAGGCCTGGAAACGGAAACGGACGTGCTGCCATCTGGGGACATGAGCCTCGGTCCTCAGCTGCTGGGCGGGCACAGGCACAGGGAGCCGAGGACTGTAAAGTGCCCTTGGGCCTTCCCAGGCACCACGGTTTCAATGTCTCCTCCAAAGTTCACATTGCAACTTAACCCCCAAACTCACATGGGGAGGGAATTGGACGGGGCGCCTTTGGGAGTTAATTGGGATTCCACGGGACTGGTGGCTTTCTAAGAAGGGCCAGCATTTGGCCTGGTAGTTAAGATGTAGCTTGGAAGCCCGTGTCCTGTATCAGAGTCTCTGCCTTTGAGTTTTGTTTTCACTTCCAATTCCAGCTTCCTATTAATACGCATCCTGGGAGGCAGCTCCAAGACTCGGGTTCCTGCCATCCCTGGGGGGGACCTGGGTTGAGTTCCAGGCTCCTGGCTTCAGCCTGGCCCGGCTCTGGCTTTGCAGGCATTTAGAATGGGAACCAGTGGCTGGAAGATCTGAGTGTGTGTGTGTGTAGGGGAGCGTTTCTCTTTCTCTGTCCCCCACTCCACACGAGGCCCTCACCATAGGCCAGCACCACGCTCATGCACCTCCTAGCGTCTAGAACCGTGAGGTCAACAAGTCTCTATTCCTTATCACTCATGTGGTCTACCGCATTTTGTTAGAGCAACAGCAAATGGACTAAGGTGCTCGTTTTGAACCCACAAATGATGCCTTCTGGAGTTGCAGGCTCAGATCAAGCAGGTGGTCCTAAAGGCTGGGGTGAAATGACCAGAATCCCTAGCACCGTAGACATTTGGCAGTGCTGAGATGAGAGAAAGATGGTGAGACGCTCATGCCGATCTGAGGAGAGGAGAGGCCCGGGGTGGGGATAGATTTCCGTTTAGCTTGCTCGCTCCGGCGGCTTCACATTGGCATGCTCAGCACATTCCCT